TTATAGCAGCAGGAAAATCTCCAGTTCAGCCTCTGCTGTCACAGGACCCTTTGTGGGTCTCCTCTTTGTCTCTCTGTGCTCTATTGTTGTTCTTTTTGTGTGTGCATACTTGGGGGGGCAATCGTCAAAGGATCAAAGGTATGGGGGTTGGAGGTCTTTCTTGTTTTGTTTTGTTTTTTTCCTGCCTTATAGGGTCAAGAAACCTGGATTTCAATTCAGCAGCTAGACTGGCCCTTGAGCCTGGTGGCCACCAAATCTAGTTGCCATGTTGAAATACAGATTACATAACTCAGTCATAAACACTTCATTGGGAAGAGTGCCATACATCCAGCATCCACTACAGATGCTTAGGTTCTTTGTGATATCATAGAAATTCTGGCTCAAGTAAGAACAGTGTGGAGACTTGTAGAAAAAGGCAAAGTAGCGCCTCTGGGCTTTTTAGGTTCAGGGTGAATTTGTGCACAGCAGGCAGCATTCAAATCTCATCTCCTGACATGAGAGCAGAGAAAATGATTTGTTATTGCTTTAAGTGGGACACTGTTTCATTTAGTGAATGCAAATCTTTCCCATTTCTGATGCAGCTCAATGTTCTGCTCATTATAAATGGAAAGCTGCCCACCATGCTTTGGTGTTTCAGTGGCATGGGTAACATCCCAGCATCCTGTAAGGAGAGGTTCAATTTTGTTTCAAGTAGCTTATTTCACGGTCACATTTGAAACCCTGATGGACAACAGGAATGTCAAAATCCCCAGAGGATCATTTTTAGTAAAGAATTTCCACTGGCAAAGACAAATTTAAAGTGGAACAAGACCTTATATTCTTGCCTTCCTTCATTTGGAATTCAAACACTCTATGGTTTTTCATTTTGTTGTTAATACATTTATGAGTATGTATGAACAGCTAACTTCAAATAAGACCTCTTCACGATGAATTACTGAACTCTTACCACACTTGCCACATTGACCATATATGGAGTATTCAAAGGAAGGATAGACATCCTACTTTGGGCTATTTGGATTCAGTTGCTGCAAATCCAAATCCTATTCATTTTCCCACGTAGACTTGGTGGTGATCAGTTCCTTACTGCATCTGCTTTAAAATGTTAAAGGGTTTTGGGGATGCACCTCAGTGCTTGAGTGCTTATCTATCCTGAAAGGGGCCTGGGTTTGATCCCAACACCACATTCACCAAGGAAAGGGAGATGACCTCAGTACTCTTATCCGCTGTTCACTATTGTTTTGACCCTAGAAGCCATCTTCTAGCTTTGTGTTTAAATTCTCAACCAGGGTCTAGTTTCCAGGGTATAGATTTCTCATTGAAGTCTCATACATCAAGGAAGATTGTTTCTTGGAGACACATATCTACAGCCTGGATCTCACTGGATTTGTCCATAAAATAGAATAATAACCATTTTTTTCTTTACATCCACCCACATCTCTGTAAAGATTTTTAAAAAATCAAGCTGGTTTTATTTTTGTTTACTTCTGACAACCTTTTGTCTGGAACATCTTCCTCAATCACGAGTGTGTCACAGGTACTGGGGATATAATGAACAGGTCTGTCATGGACCCTGCTGACAGGGACCTCAGTCTATTGAGATGCTCAGATGAGTGGTTCTCACACTGTATATCTAGGTGAGTGACACAGGCCAGGTGCTGACAGTGCACATGGCGGGTATGTCTACCCTGGACTGGGTAAATCAGAAGGCTTCCTCGTGTCTCGGGGATAAGGGGTAGGCAGTAATGAAGCCACAGGAAGACAGGAGAATATAAAAAAGGAATTCCAGCAAAGAGGGGCCTAGTGGAAGAGTGCAACCAAGTAACAAGCTGAAGAAATGTGGCTTTGAGAAGGAAGAGAGGAGAGTAGAAAGAATGGAAGTTGAGATGCTAAAGCTAGCTAGTGACAGACTTGCACACTGCATGAGGGAAATCACACAGCAATCTATCTGAAGTTATGATCTTCAAATTCTTTACATGTTACCAAGTATCCATCAACTCAAATTAAGGATTCCTGTAGTAAATTTATTTGGGAACTAAGTGTGTAAAAACTATTACCCAGTGTTGATACATCTTTTTACTGGAATATTGGAACTGCAAACAGTGATTCATTTTTGTATTTTGTTTTGTTTGTTTTTTTTGAGACAGGGTTTCTCTGTGTAGCTTTGGAGCCTGTCCTGGTACTCTCTCTGTAGACCAGGCTGGCCTTAAACTCATAGAGATCCACCCGCCTCTGCCTCCCGAGTGCTGGGATTAAAGGCATGTACCACCAACGCCCAGCATGAACAGTGATTTTTATCCTTATCAGCAACTCAAATCTCACACCTCTGAATTCCTTTGAAGTGTTAAGCATACATATATAATTTTTGCTTTTTACTACACTTTAATCTTCTTCTTGAAAATATTTTTATTACTTACCATAATATTTTCTGAAAGTAAATACATATAAACCATGTATTTATATTCAAAGTAATTCAGACCTCACTTGAATTTTCTCACCTTTTTCCATTTTAATTTTTTTGAGTTTCACATGTGTATATTATGAATTTCCGTCATTTTCATGTCCTCTGTCACCCTCTTCTGCTAAAACCCCTTTTCAACAAGTCCCTCTGTTATTTTCAGTGTGTGTGTGTGTGTGTGTGTGTGTGTGTGTGTGTGTGTCCCACTGAGTTTACTTAGGAATGCTTTGTGATGTATGGGTGGGAGGCTATTTACTGGAACATAGCAATTTATCAGTGACTAAATTTAAGCTGACATTTTCAATACACACCTTTATAAGGGGAACTCTTCAGCAAAGATAGAGTCCATCAGAAAAGAGGTTCATAAGATTTTTAAATTAAAGTATAGTTAGAAGAACAGCCTCATGGCTAGCTCATAATTCTTGACTGCTGCATGAACAGTCCGCTCATCCCTTAGAAGGATGAGATATACCCAGAGCTATTAGAACTATACCTTGACTATCCACGTAGTGTTTTTCTCCAACATATAGGCTCAATTTATACATACATACAAATGTGCATCCTGGGGGATTTTACATGCCTTATTGGGTCACATATCGTGATGAACGTCTATATCACTTGGCTCCCTGAAGGAAGGATATTAACTGAAGTGAAACAGGTAAAGTGAGCTTGCACTTCACATGCTGAAGCAATCTTCAAACATAACTACAACCGGGTTGATGACATTGGAACAGATACCTCATCAAATTAATAAGCACTAGAAAGTGTGATGGGACAGAATTTGTAACTTGCTTGCCTCCTGTGGGCATGGGCAGATTTTATTTTTTAACTTCTACATAGGCCATAGCAGCTAGGTAAAATATGAAAAAAATCTTAAAATTGGACAAAATAAGTGAAAGGTTTGAGGTCTTCAGGATGCTCTGTATACGCAAGATTTTAACAGTTTTTCTGTAAAAACTTAAATGAAAACATAGTTTTAATTTTTTAATTAAACTGAATATGCAACACACACAAAAATAGGCCAACTTTTTACTTGACTAGACATTTCTCATCTTCTACAACATTCAGGAGCTTTTTAATACCACACTGATTACATTATATTTAAATATTTTGATTCTTTGTAGACAGTCTTCTGGCAATATAATTAACTTCTTCCCATCATCAAAAATCTGCAATAAATTACTCTTTCAACTTAAGGTTTACCCTAGCAAGACAGACAAAGTTTAAAATATAAAAACAAAGCCTCTCTTACTTTTCAAAGGAAGCAAAAAGATGATCTTCCATTCTGAATAATGCATTTCCAAAAGTCATATAACATCCTTCAATAGTACAGTGATAATTGCACAAGAAGGCTAGATTAGTCTTCTTCTGTCTTACCCAGAGTCCCCTAAAATGTCTTAACGATATCCTCCTGAGGTTAACATCAAGTCTTTGAAAAGGATGTAGATGTAAGAGGTTAGAAAGGAATTTAAACTCTAATTCATAGAACATCAGTCTCACCCTCCCCCAAGGGAGTAGTTGGGAATTACATATTAACAGCGCTCTTTTCATTTAATATTCCAAAAGATCAGCATCTGAAAAGGGATTAATGGGCAATGAGCAGCAAGATGGCAAATCACACCAAGCATTAGAATGAGTCTTCATTGAACACTTTTCCCTGGGCCAGATCACCACAGAACATGAAATAAAGACTCAATTGTCAAGAGGTAGATGAGCTCCCTTTCCAGATGGGAAAGTGAGGCACTGAGATGCCTTGCAATTGGCTACACAAGTGTTGAGCAGCAGCAGCAGCAGCAGCAGCAGCAGCAGCAGCAGCATCAGAAGGAGGAACCGACTACAGGGATGCACACAATGGCCAATGCAGAGCAGTGGAAGGGCAAGGAGAACACTGGTCCCCTCCTGTAGCCTATGTTCAATCTTGACATATGACATACAGAGCTAATAGAAAGGTTGGAACTCCATTCTAAAGTTGTTGGGCATATCTGGTCTCCAACATGAAGCCCAAGAGAGCAACACAAGGAATGATATTGATAGTGACTTCCTTAGACTCAGGAATGTCGAGTATGTTGACACAACATTGAATGTGTTTCAATAAACAAGATCAAGACATGACAAGCACAATTAAAGAAGAGCTAATGCGATACTGAGAATCACAACTTCAGCTTGATGTAATGCCCTACAAAGAGATGTTTTTGAACACAGTTAAAAAGAAATTAGTGAACATTTGGATTTGAAAATTAGATCACATCTCTATGATGATGTGAGCACTCACATGTCTTTAAACATGGAATCAGTATATTATATGGAATATTTCTTTTCCTAGAGTATAAAATATATTATTATACACAGTACATAATTTCCGATGTCCCCCAAATACATTAAGCAATAGAGAAAATGCAATTATTTCAACTAGCAGTGATATCAGTCAACAAACAAGGTGTCCAGACTGGAGATAAATTGGTGGGGGATGTTTTTGATGTTGAGAAAATAAACAACCATAATGTCCCTTAGGCTCATAAAGATGTCCATTGATGCCAACACCTCACTACTGTGCAAGTAGCCAGTACACTAGTGATACACTGACATAGATGACACACAGCATAATCCAGTTTATCCTTGTGATTGGTGACCCATGGTTACTTGTCACATGGAGGATGGCTTTGGAAGACAGGGTGCCACTAGAGTTTTCGGCTTGAGCCACATAGAGGCCAGCGTCTGCCTCACATACCTTCGGAATGAACACAGAATGTTTTGTGTCCTTGTGCAAAACCTGCAAGTGTCCATCTGCACACAATTTCTGGCCCTTCTTGAACCTAAAGCAGAGAGTCAGTTTTAAGTCAGGATCACTTCTTGGTTCCACCATTTCCAAGTTCTCATACCTATTCCAGCCAGGTCCATCCCCACTGCAATATTCTCTATTAGTAACAAGAACCATCTAACTATAGTAGATGCTAATGAGACTGTCTATCAACCTGTAGCCAGAAAATTATACTGACTGACTCAGATGGTGTTTTTGAAAGTTCTATGATAACCATTAACAGAATATTATAGATGAAAATTCATACATCCATATATTCCTTAACACACACACACACACACACACACACACACACACACACCCACACACACACACACACACACATCCACACACACACACACACACACCCCACCCACACCATCTGGTCATACTGGGCCACCATTTGCTTGTGGCAACAGTGATTTGAATGTGAATTGGCACACACATGCCCAGCCTTCTTCACCCTGTCTGTAGCTTGAAGCAACAGCTGTGACTCCTGCTTGGCATCTGTACAGAAGTGAGGCTCATCTGCCCACTGTGTTCATATAGCTGGGCCTCCCAGCAGGCCAAAGGCACAATGTGAAAGAAGGGACTTTACACACTCCCACTGAATGGAGCTCATGTTATTTGTGAATTAAGTTCATTAGAAGACGATGATGACTCCTCCCTATAAAAGGCATTGGTAACATTACCTCTTGACTATAAATGACCTATTTCTAAAATTTCTTTCTGAACATGAATGAAAACTTACCTGGATCAGTTTGGGCAGCAAACAATTTACTTCTCATGTTCCACATGTGTGTCTTTAGAAACACTGTCTTCCATACAGGGACTGATGAGGAACCCAAGTCAATTTTCTATGTGTGTGTCTGTGCATGTGATGCATGTGTGTGGAGACCACATGCTCGTATCAGATGTCTTCCTTTACCACACTGTATTTTATTGTCAGTCAGGGTCTCCCCACATGAGCTCATGGATTCACCTACTGTGTCCACCACTCCAGGACTGAGATTTCTGGTGCTCTTCACCATACTCAGCTTTTACTATGAGACCAGGTCCTCATGCTTGGTCCAGCTCCTAGACTCAGTTTCTGTCCATACTACCTAAGTGAGGCGTTTGCATCTCCAGAGTGTCCTGAGAGTGCACAGCCCCCTGATAGCCTGCCAGGTGTTCACTGGGCTCACCTCCTCTAGAGCTGATGGGAAAATGGCTTTGTTTTTGCAATTTGTAATAGTTCTTCAATAATACATATGTTGCCACAATTCTTCAGTCATATGTACAAACCCTAATGAAGCTGCTTGTCTGTTCGGAGAAAAATAAGAAACACCTCAGACGGCATCTTTCTTGGGGGTGAACTAATATTTAATTATGGAATAAATACCTGGTGAATTCATAAATACAAAAGTTTTAAAGTGTGAGAAACATGCAATTGTAAAAGCAACAAAACAAAAAAGTGCTAATTTCTGCACTCACAAGTGTGCAGACCCTCTTACTATTTGAACACCAAAGTTTTCCCCTAAATTCTTTATAAAGCTGGCTCACCAGTTAAGTACCGTCAGTGGGTCATGCAAAAATAAAACAACTCTTACTGATAACTCCCGTTAAGAAAAATACAGCACACTTATCTTAGCCTATAAATATAAACTCACCGTCACTTGTTAGCTTGTTCTCAAATGAATCTGTTTGAGGATGGAAATTTTGTGAAGGTTTAAAAGTAATTCCCCACAGAAAAAGCCAGAACTGCTTTGTTATTCCTGGCAAGTGATTTAGAACCTTGATGTTACAGTTTACTTTTACTAAGACAAAAAGGCAACGATGTATCCAGAATGAGGTCACATTGTTCACAGCTTAATTAAAACATCACTTTTCAAAAATGAGTTTATTATCAGCCACCCAGAGTAACTGTAAAAGAAGTAGTCCCCTTTCATACTAAAGATATTTATAAAAAGGAACCTTAGCAAAACAAATATCACAAAGGTGACAACCTGTGATTGTGTTGGAAAGATGAAATGAATGAATGAAGGAAAAGAAAATAAAAAACTTATGGTACCTTAGGCTTTTTAATTGCCTGAAGGATGTTAAACCAAGAAAATGCCATACTAATGTAGAAACAGACAATGATAATAGAGGTGGTATTTCGAGACCTGATTATTACAAATGAGGAATGTTAAATGGAAAGAAACCAAACAGAATCAACGTCCATGCTTTGGGGGACTGTTAAATCATTATTTCACATGGTGACTTTTTCCCCTAAGGGTATTAAAGGGCTTTTAGTTACATGAAAGCTGAGGTGTGCTGTGAGATCAAATCACGCAGAGTTGAGTGTGTCAGGAGGGTTAGTCAGCCAGCCCTAAAACTTTAGGTTAGTCCACACTTCACAAGAACTCTCAGCAGCCATTGTTTCTGTCTATGGTTTGTCATTATAGGCTACCCACCATGTCAGTGTAGGCTCTGGGAATCCTGTTACTTCGACTTCCAAAGTCACTGGGGAACCTTCCGTGACAGTTACATTGGACAGCAGCCTGGAGAAATGAGGTGCCTGGCCAGCTAGGCTGACCACACTGTTCTCTGTAGATGAGATTTTCCTGTCTCCTTGGGGACCCGCGTGCCTCCTGCTGGTGTCTGACTGAGAGACCAGGCCAGGGGATACATCAGGGAAGTCATGCAGCCTGTCTTGGGTTTTAGTGACATTAGAATCAGCATGCACTTTCTCCTGGGTTTCTAGCGAGCTCTCCTGAGCCTGGGCGCTTTGCTGTAAAGCTCTGTCGTGCACTTCATGAGGCATGCTTGTTGGACATTTCACATTGATATGTAATTTGGTACTCATCTCTACTGATCCTTCAGGGGTTAATGAATAGTCAGCTTTGAATTGTGTGTAGGGCCTCTCAAAGTGACTTGTAAATGTGTCTTTCTTATTATGACACCCATCAGCAAAAGCAGTGGGTGGTGGAAGAACAGATTCCTGGGGCTCCCCTGGAACACCAGTCCCTGTGTGTGTCCTGTAGGTGCTGATGTGGAGGACCAGGGCTGAAGAGCTGTCAAGTTCTTCTACCTCCATGTTGGATGGTGCAATAGGGGACTCGGGGCTCATTGGGAGCGGAGGCAAGGAGATGTCATCAGATGAGATGCACTCTGATTCTTCTCCAGACAACATCTCTTCCAAAGAGGCATTGCCCTCTTTGTCAGGAGAGGACTGCCTCAAGTCTACGGGAAGCTCATCTTCCTGTGTTCCATTGATTGCCAAGGTATCTGCTCTTTGTACCTGCCCCTTCAAAGGAGGAGAGCCAAAGTTTCATTAGGTGGACACACTTCTTTTCCCAGCTTCCCACTATAGTGATGGCCAGTAGGGAATGAAAATCTGTGGCGTGTTAAGGCTTAAGATGGCACACTGAACTCCAAAGGTCTATTTGAGAACAATCCCATTCCCATGACTGAAAGTATTCAAACTGCCCTTGAGGGAAATGAGATGCTCTTAACAGACATGGATAAAATGTTCTCCTGACCAAATACTTACTCAGTTCCTGTTTCTTTTTAGTTATCTTAAGGGAGATACCAAAAGTGTGTTTATCAAATAAATGATCTCCTGAAAGCACAGTAAATTATGCCTATGGCACTAACCAAGAATTACTCACAGAGGAATGATCTCAACAAGCAAAATAAGGTATGTTTTATGTAAATGTTCTTTTTATCTTTTTGTCTTGGCCCTTCTGCTTTTGTGATCAACCTGGAACTGGGCAGGCAGGTTTGAAGTCACTGTAAACATTACAATCAACACTGTTAAAGCTTACTAAGGTATAGTTTTCTATATCTATATAGTTTTCACTTATGAAAAAGGTATCTAAGCATTCACACGTACTGGCCATCTTTTCTAATTTTCCCAGCATGGAATCATTGTTTCTATGAGACACTTGCATCGTTCTGATGATTTCTGGAAAACTAGCTGGGAAATTCTGCTCTGATTTGCTAAACAGAATTCTGTTCCAAGTTTGCTTCTCTTATACCTTTCACTGCTCTTTGTTTTATTGCTAATTCTCTTTTCCCACAATTTAATCAGACGTATTCAGCTATTTGAGTTTGTTTGTTTGTTTTGGTGTCTGTGTGGTATGTATATGTTTATATATGTTTGTAAACTCACTTGTGTGCCTATGTGTGTGGAGGTCAGAAGTCCATACTTGGTATCTTCCTCAGTTGTTGCTGTTACTATTATTATTATTTTATTTGATACTTGCAGCTCACCAGTTCCAGACTAGCTGGCCATCAAGCCTTAGTGCTCCTCCTGTTTCTGTCTCCTCAGAGCTGGTATTACAGGTACACACTGGTACTCAGCTTTTTACATGGTTAGGAATCTGAATGTGTCCTCACCATGGTGTGGCAAAGACTTTCCTGACTCAACCATTTCTCCAGCTCTCTGCTCTTAGTTTTTTAATCCTTTGTATACTTTTTCCTCTGAAGATCTCTAGCCATTTATATATCTAATGACAAACTCACTTTTAATTAATTCTACACCAATACCCTGGTTCATATGTCTGGCATGACTGCTGAACTTTAATTTGCACAGCTTGGCACAATCACTTGGATTTACAGTCATTGCCTGTGGGTAGGGGCACTTCTGGAAAGGAATATAATCATATTGTAGACCCATCGACCTAAGTGAGTAGAATCGATCCTTAAAGTAAATTGCATAGGGAGAAGTGCACATTGCACATTTAAACCAATACCATACATTTTACATTCCAAAATATCTCTACAGGAGGTGTTCTGATCTCAGGGAAAATAAGATTTAGTGGGAAGTAAATCAAGATATTAGGCATAGGGTTTTCTGTTTGAAGGGCATTTGGGAGGAAGACCCATGAAAGGCTCATGGGCAGATGAGAGGAGACCTGAGACCTTTGGGCACTTGGCCTGACATGGGAAAGGAAGAGAGTAGGAAAATAAAGAGAACACTTAGCTCCTCTGAGTTTTCCAGGCATCTGTCTCTACAATGTCTAATACCTGCACCACCATCTGATGGGAAGAACCAGGGGCTGTCCTCCCAATCTATAAGAGTACTTCGCTGAACTGTCCAGAAGAGAGGTACTTTTATTCTGTTGTTTATTAATCCTAATGCAAACAGCTGGCTGGACAAGGAAGAAAGGTGTATCATGGGCACTGATGGCATCACTATAAACAGATCATGTTTATGATCCAGTTCCTTGGAAAGCCCCTTGGTCTTGCAGAAGAGGCATTTTTCTGAAACTCAAACTGAGCAGGCTGCCTGCCAGCTTTTGGTACTAGTTTCTGGTATCATGGAGGGAAATATATCTAATGTTTCTTTGCCTCAGTTTCCTCAATTGTACCATAGGATTTGACCAGTTGATTGCTAAATCCCTCCCAGCACTAATTTCTATACCTCTAAATGTTGGTGCACAAAGCCCCCATCATCTACCGAATAGCCCCATGACTTTAGGCAAGTCTTTTAATACTCTGTGCTGCCATTTAACCTTAGGAGTTTTCAGATATTGCTATGGATTTAACTTCAGTACCAGCCTGGGGATGAAATGCCAGCACTAATCTGTTAGCAGTGCTGTGTGCATTGCATCATGGGATCGTCTAATGACATCTGCCACATCTGGGGTGAGGATAAATAAGAAGCACTTTACTATCTCTAGGAGAAAGCTACTGTGATAAATATCTTCTTATAATCATTCAGCAGAACTGTTCTTTTCCAACTCAAATAATTTTCTGAGGATGACTCAATGCTTAAGGGTATCAGGACCGAATACAATGATTCCAGGCTTCTATTTGGGACTTTCTATTTTTCTGCCCACTGGAAGTTTTGGGGATTCATTACATCTGACCTATATGTAAATAGTAGTGACAGTAAGAGTCTAAGTGTGACTGAGCTGCCTGAAAATGAGAATTGCTGCTGCCCTTTCATTATGCTGTCTGTACTGGCTGCAGTAGACTGGGTAGGAGTCGATGTCAAAGGGAATTCCTGACAGCCATAGTTGTGGACGTTCACTTGCATTCTAAATGACTGATGATCTAGTTAGGGTGTCTTTTAATTTATGTAAAAATAAAAGTCACTTGTCACTGATAATAACTTGTACTGGTTTTATTTAAAGACATTTGTTCCTAATAAGAATATATAAAAGCACGATAAAGCCTTTTTTTACTAGGTATAATATAAACGATGAGTGTAGTTGCTTTAACAGCAAAGAATTTTGTTTCTAAGTCTTTATTAAATGTGTTTAACACATAATGGAGGAAAATATACAGAATTAAAAAAATAATGTTATTATGCCAGATAAAAAATGTTTAAAATCGTGGATTTTATTTTTGAGACAGGGTTTCTCTGTGTAGCTTTGGAGCCTATCCTGGAACTTACTTTGCAGCACAGACTGGCCTTGAACACACAGAGATCTGCCTGCCTCTGCCTCCCAAATGCTGAAATTAAAGGCATGTGCCACCACACCTGGCTAAAATCATAGATATTAAAATGTTGTTTATTAGCTGGGCATTGATGATGCACGCCTTTAATCCCAGCACTCGTGAGGCAGAGGCAGGCGGATCTCTGTGAGTTCGAGACCAGCCTGGTCTACAAGAGTTAGCCTCCAAAGCCACAAAGAAGACCTGTCTCGAAAAAAAAATGTGGTTTATCTAATACTATTCTTCATTATTTCAGCCAGTTGTCATTGTAGTAATCCAGCAGCTAGGAATAAAGCACACATTCGCATAGAAGGCCCAGAAGGATGTGGCAACTTGACAAGACTTTTGAAAGCATGATAGATTTGTATCTGTGAGTGTTTGTAGTCCTTGTCACTTGCTTTAATTTACAGGCATATGTCAAAAGATTGAAACATTTGTCTACATAGCATTTATATTTCAGCTGGATTCAGTGTCTTAGTGCAGATCCCTAGAAATGTCATGTGTAGTTAGTGTATGGGAAAAAGATGCTACCTCATTTTATGTATTAATATTTCCTAATGGGTAGTGTAAAACAATTAAAAAAACCTCCCACATTGGTAATACTATAACAAGTAAATAAAATGAAATAAGATTGACTGCAAAAGGATAATGGGGATGGTAGCCAGAGCTAGAAGAGTAGAACTAGCCTAGGCTAACATGATGGTGTTTTCAGCAATCCTCATGTGTTTTTTCTTTGTGTGTGTGTGTGTGTGTGTGTGTGTGTGTGTGTGTGTGTGTGTGTGTGTGTGTGTGAAATTCTATGGCTTCAGGATTTAGTAGAGCAGACATAGTAGAGTAGAGCTGGCATGGTAGGGATGAGAAAACTCACATTGAGTTTATATTGGAAGACTTGATTTAATGGGTGAGACATAGTAGATTGATCTTCTAAATGAACAGTAACAAATCTAAAAGACAAGGAAACACATAGCTGAAACTAAATACTTTCACTACCTTACCTCACTCCTTTCTTCATTGAACAGTGTCTGCTCACTCCTCATTGGCTTTTTTAGTAGGTCAATGCAATTATCATGGAAAGCTTCCAAATTTGGGTTCATCTTTGGAACATCTCCCTGCTGTAAAAAGCAAGTTTAGTGAGAGCTTGAGCCAGGAAAGTTGAAGAAATAATCCTATAAGCTAACCACTTGGAAAAACACCATAAGCCAATAGCAACCTTTCCGTAAATGCATCCCACAGGAGACCAATGTTCTCCCTTCAAGCTCACAGCTCCCTTCTTGCCTCGTCCCTTTAGTAAAGCTCATTGCCAGTAAAGCCAATTGTTCAAAGGCCCTGAAGAGAATGAAGTGATTGTTAGCAATAGGATGCTCCAGCAAGAACATTCTCTGGAGATGGGAATGACTGAGTAGGACAGTTTGAGCCATTAGGAAGCTGAAGAGCATCAGTGAGGAAGAAATGATGTGGTCTCTGGAGAATGAGGAGGAGAGCCAGAGAATCCACACAGGCAGACTTGAAAAGAGAAAGGAAATAGAAGAGTCGGGAACACAGGCTGTCCCCTGTGACTGTTATTTGTTCCTGCATTTTATGGGAGTCAGCTTTATTCACAGAGGTGGTGGGGCTTTACATACTGGCAGGGAGGCATCGTGAGGGCCAAGATTTTGTGATGAGGAATGGAGGCACAGGTGCCCCAAGGGACAGACCACATGGTTTTAAAGTGATGTTTATGATAATTATAGATACAGGCATACTCTCCAAAGTGCACATTACACTGACTCAGAGAATTTGGGGAGAACCTATGGGGGAAGCTCAGCTTTGAATCTCAACTCTAAAATGAAACGGGATTGTATTACTGGATGAGCCACTTGGCATTAATACACACTTGGAATCTAAACCACAACGGCAGCTGTTGTGGAAAGAATTCTAGATGTTAAATTAGATGTAACTTCAAATTCCAGCCTGATTACTAGTGACTGTGGAGACCCAGGGACAGTACCTCTACCCTCTTTAGAGACATATCTTCCTTCTGGAACAAGGCAAACACCACCCACAGTGGTGTATACTTTAATCCCAGCACTGGGGAGGCAGAGACATTTGGATCTCTGGGAGTTTGAAGTCAGTTTAATCTACATAGTGAGTTCCAAGGCAGCCAAGGCTTATATAGTGAGACTATCTCATGAGCCAATAAACAAAACAACCAAACCAAAAAACTAACAAACAACGGAGGTTGTATATCCATCTCAAGGCTCTTTGGAAATCACTGGAGATGATATGTATTTAAGCCTTTTTCCTGGGTCAAATTGTTATACAAATAGAGTCAGTTTTTTTAATAGCTCCCATGTAAGAAGGAGTGGGGCCCTCAGCAATATATTTGTGAAGTTTCAAAAGGGACCTGAGAGACTGTTTGCCCTTGCACCTCATAAGTTTGGAACGAGGTGACTATGAGGAAGCAGGAACTCCCTGGGTATCAAATCACTGTAGTCTTGATTTCAGACTTACAAACCTCTGGAACTGCAAGAAACAAATTTCTGCTGCTTAAATGCCACCAGGTCTATATTATTTAATGTAGCAGCTGAAACAGACTAGGGTGGGTGACAACGATCACAAGTGTTATGGGAGACTAGCAAGGGACGAGTAAGGAAGGCTTGTTGAGAAAGGGGGTATTTCTGTTTAAATATGGGTGTTGATAAGATGTTGATAAAGGGTCATGTGTTTAAAAGTAAAGGTCCAGCAGTAGAAACACTAAGGGATGTGAGATGGGAACCTGCAATGACTGTAGAAGCACAGCTCTCAAAGCCACGGACAGGTCTTGTAGTAAAGGGTTTTGAATACGAAAGGACATGAGTACAGCCATATTTAGGAAGGGGAATCAAACCCAGTATAGAATCAAACCCAGTAAATAAGTAGGATAAAAAAGAATCTCAATGGCAGATTGAAAATGCAAGAGGGAGTAAAGTCCTAACTGAAAGGAGTGTCTAAGGCATGGGGAATGAGAAGGTGGAGGCAGGCTACAGGAGCAGATCTTCCAAGAACAGAGCATGGAATGAAAGCTGGGGAGGAATATCATTTGGAAAGACAAGGTACCATTAAGCTGAAGACGTACAATCTAAAAGAGGGCACTGTGGTTGATGGCAAGCAGAGTCAAAGAAAGGAGATTTGTCAGCCTATACATGAAAGCAACCGAGAAGAAGCAGGCCCCCAGGGAGGGAAGTAGAGGTGGGTGCCAACAGGGATAATGTAAGACGTATGACTCACTGATACCTTACTAGTGGCTTCACAGTTGTAAAATAATTATAAAAGGTCAGTTGGCTTATATAATAGAAAAATTAGTACTTTTTATTCATTTTTTTCAAATCTGCTTTAAAGAATTTACATGTAAATAATGGAAAATATTATAAAATAATAAGAACCCCAAGCACAATGATGTTCAGTGTAGTGTGGTGTAAAATGATGGAAAGAAAATAAGTTGAAAAATCTGAAGGTAACTACTGAATTAAAATTTCCACAGATTGTCTAAATTGAATAAACACTCAAATTTATGACATGGAAAATCATAAAAATATTTAGTCAGATGGGGATTAAACCATTTACTCAACTTGTAGCCCAAGGATATTCCAAGGCAACTGAGTTCTGATCTAGAGCATGTGCTCTTTGTGATATCCTAAACCACTCTCAGCAAGTTGTAAAATCAGCATCAACCAAAACATTTTTAAGCATGACAATGTATTTTTTCTTTCATTAGTTCTTGTCTACTATAGTGATCATAAGCATTTACTCCGTTTTACCTATCATTTCATTTTAATTACATGAAGGTAACCTTAATACTTTCATAATGTTAAATGTTCAATGAGTATAATACCTAAATATTACTGTTATTTTCTTTGGTGCCATAATCTGAAGGAAGAACAACCATTACATCTATTATTTATGAATATAAACATAAGAGTCCTAAATACAAATGTTGCTTTGGTTTTAATGGCACACATTTATCCTCTAGGATATGATCCATGGAAATGTAAATGAGACACCTTAATTGTATTTAGCCCTCATTCCCAGCAACATTTTTCTCTGCATAGATAGGAAAGAAACAGGATTAATTATTACAAACCCTCAGATAATTATGTTGGAATGCTGTGGAACAAATGTGCATGTTACGTCTCTTGAGAATTTGTATTAGAATATCTCTGCACCAGAAGACATTTGATTAACACAGTTTTATTTATATCACTTGATAATACATATTCTAGAAAGAAGAAATTACCTTCAGTTTTTCTTTAAGCTCCATGAGAGACCCACATAATTCAGTAATAGATTCAAGAATCTCCTTGTGTCTTGTGACAGTCTTCTCAGTGTATTTCTGCCCTTCTTCCAAACCTGGGAAAGAACAATGATAAACCTACACTTAAAAGGAATTCTTAACAGGAAAATAGAAAGAACTGGATGCTAATTCATCTCTTAGGTATCTTTTGTAAGTGCCAGTGGATAGTAAGCTCCTAGCAAACCCATACTGAACAGACAAATCAATGAAGGCAGGTATTTTTTAAAAGCCAAATGTTATGGTTTAGATATATTTGGATACAGGGTGGGGAGTTGGGAAGGACAACGGGGTTGGAACATGGTCTTATGTAGCCCAGGCTGACCTTAACTCACTACATAACCTCCGCTTCCTAGATGCTGGGATTAGAGGTGTGCACCACCATGCCCAGGCTGAGGTTTGATTAAGAAATACCAATGTAAGCCTTGCATGTTGAAGGCTTGATCCTCAATGCTATGTTCAGATGTGGGACTTTTGGGAAGGATCATGAGACCTCTGATTTAATTAATGGATTAGTTTGTTGATGAGTTAAGAAATTAAATTGACTGTTAGGAGGTAGTGGATCCTGCAAAAAGTGGGGATGATTAAAGGACATGGGCTGCTTGGGGGAATGATATGCTTTTGATGGTCTATCTTATCCCTAGAACTCTTCTCTGACTCTCTGTTTTCTGGCTGCTGTGATGCGAGCAGCCTTCACCACTATACATTTGTATTGCCATAATATTCTATTCAACCTAAGCCCAAAGAAGTGAACAAGACAAGCATGGAATGATGCCTCTGAAACCCCAAGTTGGGTGTTTTGTCACAGTGCTGGGAAACTCACTAGCCTAGGAGTTCTATAATAAAGGTTGCATTTGCTGTACCATTGTCACCTTTATGGAACCTAAATAACATTCGTATAAAGACTCAGTATTGATCAGGATTCCCTAACCAGGACATTCAGAAATTCTTCACTGCTTAGAGAATATACATTTCTAAGGGTGACATTTAAGGCCCTTGACATCTGGTTTGAACCTGCCTGCCCCAAATGTGTACAATTTTAATTCTATGACACATTTTAATTCCTGGCCAAGCTTCATAGAAGAATGGCCCTCGACCATCATATCTCCCCAGTTTCTGAGTTAGAAAAATCAATTTGAAATATACTAGAGAATTAAATCCAAGACCTGGAATTTGAAAACCAGTAGAATAAAGCACAAGGAATATTGAGATGCATGAGGATTTTCAGATGAAACTCTGAAAGCACAGGAAACAAAAGGAAACACAGACAAATGGGAGTGTGTCAGACTAAAGGGCCTCTGCAGAGTGAAGAGGGGAACAAAGTGCAATGGTATTTTATAGAATGAGATAGAACATTTGCCACTGGCTCACATCTGATGATGGGTTAGAATCCAGGAGAACTCAGGCAACTCAACAGGCATACCCGCAGTCCAACCTGAAAACCAGCAATAGCTGGAAAGACACATTTCTTAAAAGAAGATGCTCATGCTGGGCTATGGATGGAGCCCAATGGCCAAGTGCTCACTTGGTGTATGTGAAGTTGTATCCTAGTTTTCTTCATCTGCTGTTGTGATAAAATACTGACCAAAAGCATCCTGAGGAGTAAGGGTTTATTTCAGCTTATAGTTTACAGTCATCACTAAGGGAAGCCAAGGCAGAACTTGGAGGCGGGAAATAAGTTAGAAACCATGGAGGAATGCTGCCCACAGGCTGACTTGCTTAGCTTGCTCAGTTACCTTTCTTATAAAACTCAGGCTCACTTACTCAGGAATGGCACTACTCATGGAAAACTTGGCTCTCTCACACCAATCAGAAATCAATAAAATGCCCCACAGACACCCCTACAGGCCAATACAGTGGAGGCAACTATTATTGAGATTCTCTATTGCCAAGTATGTTTAGGTTTGTGTCAAACTGACCAAAACTAACTATGACAGGCCACAAATTCAACCCCTAACACCAGTCATAGAAGGTAAAGTTTACACACATAACAAGACAAGTGTTTGCTGTGCAGTAACTTCTAGGCCTAGACCTTGTTGATTGACTGTAGGGACGACACATATCTGCTTTCTACATAAACACTTGGGACAGCTCCTGATGCATAGCAGGCATTCACAGTTAGTTTTCGAGATAAATTTATTTGCATTAAAAGTTTGGATCCTGACTGACCAGCTGGTTGAGCAGCTTTCAAGTGCTTGCTTTCAAGCCTAGTATCCCAAGATAGAATACAGAGGTCTACATGGTAGAGGGAAGAACTCACTCCCACAGGCTGCCCTCTGACCTCTTCATGTTCACTGTGGCATCTATTCCTCTACCCTCCGATATATGTAACATTTAAAGGTTCAGGGATCGGTAATGCTTTTGTCATCTGCAATACTTTATTTCCTATTCCTAAAGTAACTGTGCAAGGCAGCCTAAAAGATGGACAGCTTCTTGGACTGGCGAGATGTCTCAGTGAGTTAAGGTGTCTACTGCCAAGCCTGGTGACCTGAGTTTGATTCCCAGGACTCACTCAGTGGAAGGAAGGACCTGATTCTGCAGTTTGTCCTCTGGCCTCTAAATGTGTGTTGGGGCCTGTGTAGTCTACATACATACACACTCATCATACATACACAGGCACAAAATAAATAAATAAAATATTTTAAAAGGTTCCATGCTATGTGGAAACTCACAAAAATCCATATTTTTGATCCTAATAGTCAATTATTCTCTTATTCCTGCAGCAGTTATTGAGCCCTTAGTGCATGCTATGATGCTGAGTTAATAGGTGAGATATCTTCTCTTGTGGAGATTACATGTTAATAGAATAACCCACTAGAGTATAACTAACTAATGTAAATACCAGCTATTAATAAGAGCCAGAACATTCGACAAGGCAGAACTCAGAACTCTGCAAGGTTGTAGAAGAATGTGACTTTATGGGGTCTTTGTGAGTACTTACCGTATCTTGGCATTGAACAGGCACTATAATGCAGCATATTCTCCCCTCATCCACCAGCACATAAAACAGACAAAGTGTCTATACTATCACATGGGAAGCAAAATCAAGACAGACATCCACAGAGCTTGAGATGCCCTAAGACTTCCTTTTTAGCACACTTACATAGTAACCATCTCTTTTCATTAGCTTTCCAGCTGATATTTTAGTGTTTCTGCTATTTTTACTATTTTCCTTGAAAAATAATAAACAGTTTATCTCAAGGATTTCCTATTAGGCATTCAGTGCACTCTATGTTGCTAAGAATTTTATGTCTGTCTGGAAGTACGGATGCTATAGACTGAATATCTGCCTGGAACAGCCTGGGGCAGCCAGAGGCTGCTTTCTGAATGACCCACTAATGTCTTTTCTCTAGGCTGCCTTTGCCCGGTCACTGGCCATTTCCTGTGTCTATCAGGAATCACATCAGAGAAGTCACAGAACTGCTCTCTCAGGGCCTTGAGCATTGTCACTCAGGGACTTCTTTTATGAAGAAATGTTTGGCTTCTTCCACTCTTTCCTCACCATGGAGAAGAAAGTCGCTATAAGGTGCCAGAGTGAGAAGAAGATGAGGAAGAGTTTGCCAGTCATGTCCCAAATCTGCAAATCAGACTTCCATGGAAACAAGAGGCTGACAACCTTTAGAGTAAGCTTTGTGCCAGCTAGCACTGGATCTTCTCACACTCAAGGAGTCACTCTAGTGGACTTTATATTCTTTGTCTATCATTGTGGTTCTGGTTTCATTGCCCTGGAGAAGAATGGAAAGGATAGAATGCAAAGTGCATAGGGAAGGAGGGGCTGATACAAGATGGTTAAAACCCAGGCTTCCTCTCCTGCTGTGGGAAGTCCTGCCCTCCATTCCCTACTGCTTACTTTTGCTGGATGTGAATGACTCTTGAGACTTTTCTCAGAATAGTTGGTGATAGTGAGGGCCTTGATCTTCTTCCTGTTGGATTGGGTTTAGTATAGAGTCGTTCAGTGGCAAACACAATCAAATGAGAACTGACCATATAAGCGCTGAGCAAGGTTGATGACCTCCTGAATCCTTTCTTCTTGCTGAGGCACTGAAGGAGCAATAAACTTGTTGAACTGCCTGTGGAGGATTTCCACAGCTTCCTTTGTTTGGCACTCCATGGAATACTTTCCAACTCTTACAACTGTGGCACTTGCGTCTTCATACCAAAAGTTACACTATATCCAAATGGAAGAAATCACAAATTAAAGAGATGTGTTCTCAAGTTCTTCACATTTATCAATGACATTTCAGATTTTGATTTCCTCAAACTTGTCCATTATAGCCTTAAACCTTCCAAGTCATATGAAAGAGAACATTAGCACATAGTCATATACCTTTTCACTTAGATACCCAATACAGCAGTTTGAAAGAAAATGGCCCCAAAAGGGACTGGCATTAGTAGGAGATGTGGCCTTGTTGAAGTAGGTGTGGCCTTGTTGGAGGAAGTGTCTCTGTGGGAGTGGGCTTTCAGGTCTCTTTTGCCCAAGCTTCCCTTGGTATGACATGGAGACCACTTCCTGCTGCCTGCAAGATGTAGAACCCTCAGCTACTTCTCCAGCATCATGTCTGCCTGCATGCAACCATATTCCACCATGATGATAACAGACTGAACCTTTGAAACTGTAAGTGAGCCACCCCAATTAAATGTTTTCCTTTATAAGAGTTGCTATGGTCATTATGTCTCTTTATAGCAATAGAAATCCTAACTAAGACACCCAAGGCACATATTTTTACAGTATAACTAAAGAAATATACATGAATACAATTAGAAGGCCAATGAATTGAAATAACTTTGATTCTCCTGCCTTAGATTTGTCTAAAACATAATTCCTAACTTTTAAGAGCAAGCAGCAAAAGCATTTGGATACTAAAAGGTATTCAAACATTGGTTGAATAATACTCAAAATTCACTATAGTCAACAAACACTGCTAGTAAATCCATAAGTACGATTTTTTCTTAGTAATATTCTAATGATACACTTTCCCTTAAGAATTAAATTTAGAGTGTGAATCAAGAAAATATCATCCAAAGAAAAGAATCCTACCTTTGTGAAATAGAACTAGTAATTATTTTGAAGCATAGTAGAGGTAAGAAGCAATTTTTCACTAAAAATAAGTAACTATGACAGGAGGAATGTCTGCCCCAGGCCAAATGCATTTGTGCTGCATAAAAATGTCAAAACAGGACTCTGACAAGCTAGTTTTAAGTTAGTGCCAAGAAGCTTCAGCATTGTGTATCAAAGAATAATCAGCTGCTTCATAATGTGGTGTTAAGTCCAAACACTCAACTGTATTAGCAGGAAAGAAAGATAGTCTGTATTTCAGAATAACAGGCAAAAAAGGACACTCAAACCCCTCAGGTGTGGTTTCTTTGATCCAGATCTGAGGCTATGGTTTGACCTTGTTAAACTTTATGTATTTTAGGTGAACTACAACTATCCCCTTGGCAGTAACCAAGGTTACAACAAGTAATGAAGCACATGGGATATTCTATTATCAGGTTATTTTGAAATGTTTTCAAGTGTTGTGAAATAAATATACTACTTGAGAGTTGAAACAGATTTCCAGCAGTGATTGTAACATCAGTAGTTAAACAGTTTGAGTCGATGTTATGAAGAAACAGAAACCCTTATGGTATTGGGAGAAGTAAATTAATCAAAGTTTTCTGAAGAGCAACTAGACGATGCAGAAAAACAAAATCTCTGTGGATGGCATTCATTCCCTTTGACCTGGTGGTTCAACTTTAGGGAATTAACCTAAAAGCAATAATGAAAAGGAGCATGACCAGGGCTTTCATGGCAGTTGTAACTAACACAGCATCGGAGCAATGGCCCAGTGGTTAAGAGCATTGGTTGCCTTTCCAAAGGATCTGAGTTTGATCCCCAGCACCCACAAGACAGCTCTAAATTGTCTATAACTCCAGTCCTAGAGGGTCCCAACATCTGCTTATATTCTCCACAGGCACTGCATATACACAGTGCAGAGACATATATGCAGACAAAACACCCACATGCATAAAATAAAAATAAAGATTAATAAATAATTCTTTAAAAAGCATTTAAAAAGAAGTAGGATAGTTTCTTATTTTGGAGTCTAAACTATACCTGAACTTATAATCTCCTGCTTTTGCCTCCAATTACTGAGATTAAAGGGATCTCTACCATGCTCAGGACAAAACATATTTTGAAGTAACGTTGTAGTAGGAATATAATTGCAATAAGAAAAAAATACCTCTTCTATTACTTCCTGGAGATGTTCAGTCAGGTCCAAATTCATCTTGTAATCTATCACAACTTTTTCAAAGTCATTCACATGCTTTTGCAAATCCTCCATGGCTTCCAAAAGGATGTTAACTTTGTTACTTGGATAACTTAAGAATGAATCAGAAGTTTTATTATTAACTTTTTCCATTTTCTTCCTTAAAGCCTGTGGGGGGTGGTAAAGGTTTTTAAAAGGAAATTATATTCTTTCTTATGATGCTAGTGGTAAGACAGAATAACAGAGAAACTGGTTTCTCCCACCATTCTAATACCTTAAAATTATAATCACTGTAAATGTACTTTGGAAAGAACAGGTTTTCTCCAAGATATTTTATTTATTCAGTATTTGCAAATATACACAAAGCCTAGAAATAACACACACACACACAAATACACACACACACACACACACACACACACACACACACATCTGAACACATGTGAGAACAGAAAAGGCAGAGGGCACTCTATTCACATAGGTACACATGCATGAGCGTGTGATGGGCAAGCATGGAAATGCATTGGCCTTGTGTGTTTGTCATAAACTATTCCAGTGCTGCCTCATCACACGTGTCTCAATTCACATCATTGGTGCTAGGTTAAGTGATGAGGCCAGAAATTCTGCTGTGCTGTTGCTACGGGGCACCCTAACGTGCCGATCATGATGATAGTGATTGACAATAGCCAAGTACAAGGGTCTTGAATGATTTTAGAATAAACTATGAGTATCCTTAGACATGGTTCTAGCCTGGCTTAAATAATATGCAATATTTGCATGTACTGAAATAAAACAGGTACCCCCAAAGTACACACATTTCTTCTGTTTTCATGTGTCAGTTGGGAATGATTCGAAATTTAAAAAATGAATAAGCTAGAAGCTCACAGAATGAATTGTTTTCTGGGTAGAATTCTGCCATAAGTTACTCAGTGAAATCTTTCCTGTCAGTCAGTTCATTTAAAATCAGCATCACATTACTGTATACCAAATAAATAGCTAAATCATTTTCAGGAAAACCAACTCTGGATTATAGAGGATAATGTTATTTTTTTAAAGAAGAAAACTAGACAAATCAAATTCTATTTATTCCATTCAAGAAGTCAAATATTATAAAAATAGAAAACTACCCATTCCATCTCAATTCTGTTTTTTAAAAAAGAGTTATGCCTGGATTGCAACGATTTTGCACAAATTACAGTAACTACACACACACACACACACACACACACACACACACACACACACACACGCACGCATGCACACACATACACCACATACACTATTTTCAGGGTTAGGGTTATTACCTGAATTTTTTCAGCATACATATCAACTTGTTGGATTTGGTATTGAAGAGTCTTTAGGTTTCGAGATTTTTCATTTTTCTTGGAATAATTAAACTTCAGATTGTTGAATTTCTTTTTTATATCTTTGAATGACTCTTTGAGCTACAGTTTAATAAAAAATAAAATTATAATTTCCTTATAATTAGAAAGACTATATTTATTGTTGTGAATAAAACTATCTAAACATTTCCAAATATTCATCATCTTAAATCTGTCTTCAGAATAATTTCAAACAAAATTGAACCTCCTACCTGGATATTTGTCCTTCAATGAAAGTGCTTCTGATGAATTATTTTAAACTCAGTATGTTCACAGACTATCCCATTGGTTGACAAACAAGAAAGTATCTAACATCTTGAACATGAACTTTTGCTAACTCAAATTGTCTTATTTGTATTTATTTGGTATAAATAAATTCCATTTTCTGCATGCTAATATTGTTCCAGATCTTTCCATTTCCTGGTACTCTCTCACAGTCATTATATATAAAAATTATTAAGGTGCCAAGGAGCCATTAATGATGAAGAGGTCAACGAGGGCTTGACTTTTAGAATGGCTATTACAGTATGTGAGATTTAGTGAGAAAGGAGTTTTATTTGCCCAGCTCAAGTTATTTCCATGAGCAAGTTTTAGATCAGTTTTACTTCTTGGATGGAGAACATTAACTTTGAAAATACAAACCAACAGATTAAAAAACCCAAAGTAAGAGTCATTGCCACCAAGGGCAATGCTGACTGTGTATAGACAGGGCACATTATGATGGTCTTACAAACAGTTCATCTTTACCAAAGCACTAAGATTCTAAGCAACCTGGAACTTTTACATTCTGCTTTCTGTTGCTTCTACATATTCATGAAGGCTAAGTGTACTTCTAGGCAACTCTCACTTCATATTATCAGCAAAGGGGAGCACAAAGGAAACATAAAACCTAAGATTACACAGGAACTTTTACAACAAGAAGGAATCATGTCATGGTTGATAAATCTGAGTGATGGAAAGAAAAGTTAGAAATACATTAAAATTCTTTTCAATGATAGCAAACAAATTACCTGAGACTATATAAAAGCTGTGCACACGTTACATCTTAGACTCATAATATAGAAAAATACATCTGCCCTAGAAAATGTATGCTTTCTCAAAATGCTTACTCCAAATTTTCCATATTGTGGAAATAAAACATTGTCTTCATCCTTAAGTCTTCTTGAAACTCTACAAGGCCCTGGCAGACTTGATTATGTAGAAATTATTATACTTATACTTTTTTGCATAGGACATACTTATACTCAACCAGTATTGATTTTTTACATAGAAAATGACATTGCTGAATATTAGTTTTAAGTTACAGACAAAACCAAGAACAGTGGCCATAAAACCACTTTACCAGATAAATTAACAATGTCCAGAAACAGTGGAAAGTGCTGTAACTTCAGATTTGGAAAATGACTTCTATATCAGGAGACCACAAAATATTTAAAATATCCTATTAAAACTGGTATATTTATGAAATAGTCATTAAATATTTACGTTCTGTAATACTTGATATTTTAATGTACACATGTTAATTCTAGCAGAAAGGGATAAATGAGGTTTATTTTATGATACTGGAATATAAAGAAACTATATCCTGAGAAATTAATAGAAAACTGAGATAGGCTCTTTTTATATTCCTAAATTGCAATCTGCAACTATAAATTAATAAATACCCTATCTGAGGCAACCAGAGATCATTATTTAAAAACTCTTTCAATGGCATGTTAACTGTATAGATATTGTGTTTGCAATGATTACAAACATGAGCAGATAGAGAGTGTGTTGGTTGCATTTTAAGGTATATGCACTAAGTACCAGTGAGCAGCACACAAAGTGGTGAAGATGGCCAGAGTAATGTCGCAGTATTTTACCACAATTAACAACAAAATCATTCAGGGTACGAGAGTGCATGCCTATAGTCCCAGTACTCAGAATGCTGAAGAAGGGGGAATCACAAATTCAAGGACAGCCGAGATTATACAGTGAGAACCTGGGTCAAAAAAAAAAGTTGGGGAAATGGCTCCATGGGTTAAGTGCTTGATGTACAAGTGTGAGAACCAGAGTTTAGATGCTCCAAACCACGTAAAACCAAGCATGGTGGCATGTGTCTGTGATCTCAGTGCTCTAAAAGGTAAGATGGGAGGCAGAGACAGAATTCCTAGGAGCTCATGGGCCAGCTAGCCTAATGCACACAGCTATAAAGACAGCCCAAGAGACTCTGTTTCAATCAAAGTAGGAGTGGACTGAAATCCAAGGGTGTCCTCTGACTGCCACACATACAGTGTCATATGACACCTGTACTCACGTACACAAACATGCACTCATGCATACATCATGATAAATAAGGTAAAGTAATAAAATAAGCACTTCTTCAAACAGGAAGGTTTAACATCTGCTTGAAAACTGACTGAGGAATACAGAAAGATAGCCCTAATACTTTCACTCTAAACCATAAGCTTTCTAGTTTACTCTGGATTTAAAAAACATCAGCTTTATAACTGGTGAGAATGACTTCATTTCTGTGTCGGCATTCATGCATTTCCACTGAAGATGATTTAGAAGGCCAAAGAATGTTCGTGATGCTATGGTACGTGAAATGTGATACCTCCACTCTGACACATGAGCTCTCCCCACAGAGATGCTGGCACCGTTCTTGTTTAGTCATGTTGGAAATCTCTAAGTCAAAGTCTAAGCCTTTGCAACTTTCTTAATGCAAATTCAAGACTACTGAACACACAAGTAGAAGGGAGCATGGGTGAACTAACTACCTCTAGCATTAACAAATCTAGCCACACTTCATTTTTCTACCTGCACATTCCAGTATGAAAACTTAATCTAATCCCCACATAACTTGGCATCATAGCTTTAAAGGAACAGAGTGCTATGGTTACTGGCCTGGGTAGCATTGTCCATGCAGCTGTTTCTAACTTTAGTGAGCTTGTCAACAATGGGATATGGTAGAGATGTCTGAATTGAGCGTATAAGCAGACACACACACACACACACACACACACACACACACACACACACACACACACACCAGCAGCAGCACAAGGACAGAAATAGTTTAGTCATTAGAAATCTTTAAATGCTATGATACACAATAGTAAAATTTATGTATTAAGGATATTAGGATTTTTTTTCAGTGAGTAATTTGATTCTTCCCTCTTTGTACATGCTCAGCTCTCCCATGTATGCATGGAGTAAGTGGACTAAATTTACATAGCTATACTTAGAAACAGATACTAAAATTTAAAAAACGGGTCTTTTTTTGAAACTATAAAAATTATCCTTGTCATAATTTTCCCAGTGAGTGGTAAGTCTCCTTTCAGAGCTAGGAATGAGATAACTTCTGTGGAAACAGAAGAGTTAGAGGCTCCTGGCAGGCCAGGATAGCTTGCTATTCTTAGTCTTGACTAAGCTGGTTGAGGCAGCTTTCACAGGAATGTATTATGTGTAAGTCTGGTGCTGGCAAGGCCAACTGGTGTGAGGGACAAGGGTTATTTAAAACCCAGGCAATGGATTTGCAAAGAAAATCTTGCATTAGAACTGCGGCATACTTCTGGCTAACCCCCCAATTCCAAAATGAGCAGTCAGTTTTTTATTTCTCAAGCATCCACTTCACAAGGTCCAGGTCTTATCCTCTGTTTGCCCATTCCAGATGAGAGAGCTTTCTGAGACTCATTTTCCATAACGGAAGGCTGTAATGCATCACCTCCCAGAGACGCTTGAATTTGAAACAAAGACATCCAAAGACTCAAAAATGTAATCCTGATTTTGCTGCAAATATTAATGGAGAGCTTTGGGTCTCAGTGCTGGGCAGATTTCTGGAGAAATCTTTTTGGCTTTACCTCAATTTGGTAACCACAGCACATCTTCCTCAGCTTTAAGCCTCATAGCAACAGGAAGTGAGACAACTTGGAAAGCAAAGACTTGTTCCAAATTGCAGGCAGCAGCCAGTCTCAGCAGTAAACATTATCCCAAATGTGTAGCATCTTCATAAAGAATTTAATACATATTATTTGTTCTACTTGGGATATGCTAACTATAATTTTAAATGTGAGTTGCCCATACTCTCCAGAAGATCCTACAGGGTATTTTACAGATATCAAATACAACAATTTAAATATTTGAACCTTTAGTATGAACATTTTCTGAACAAATTGTAATTTTTCCTGACAACTTATACATACCATCCGAATTCAGTTGGTTCAGGGTCTGCTGAGCAGAGATGGCTATGCCTGTGAAGTGCCAGGTGGGTTTTCAATGTCTTGACACTCTTAAGTTTTCTGTGGACATCTGCAGTGTCACAGCCTGGCTCATGTGAACCACGTTAATTGTGTTTGTTGGATGAAGACAATTTAGTATTTTTTTTTAAGAACAAGTTTGGATCACAAATCTGAACAATGAGTATTGTCTGTATTTTTTCCACGGTGATGCCCCACACGGTGGTTTGTTCTCTATACAAACTTTTCTGTGCTCTTTCCTGTCGTGCTGACTATGCATGCTCATTCTGTCATGGGAGAAGTGCCAATAACAGTTGGGTGGTTTTCTTCTTAGTGTGTATGTGCTTGTAAAGGCACTGTTCCTCAGTTATAATCTATGGCTCCTTATCAGTTTCTGTGTCTGGCTCTCAGATGGCAAATCCATCCACATTGACCATAGATTTTGATGGATTCATGCCTGGCATATGGAGTAGATATGCTAAGTCCTTTCCTTCTTAACCTCCGATAGGAAAGATGTTACTATCCTAGAGGAGACTTTCCAGGGTAAGGTGACATAATTGCCTGGAAGCTTCTGTGTGGAAAACTTATTTTGAAAAAATGGATACCAGCCTGATTCTGTCATCGTTATTCTTCCCAGAAAAGTAATTGTTTGTGACACAAAATATGAACCCTGAAGTTATAAATCCCTACTATCATCATGTAAACATAAGTGTTATTTTTTTTGTCAGCTTGCACAAAGGAAACATGTTTCCTACTAACATACTACCTTTCTAAACGTAGCTATAAACAGATGATGTTCCCCGGCAATGTAATACGGTTGTGGAAATTTCTAGAATGTTTTGTGTGTTAACGATATATTCACATGGCCAGGCAAGGAAATACAAAATGCTACTGAGCAGTTATGCATACAAATGCATCCTTGTACAAAATGGGTAGGAAAAATGTCCTAAAATCTGGCAGTTTGACAGTCGGGCTTCTCATGGGTAAATGTTAAGAAAACAAGCTTTTCAAAAATTTACTATGCATAAAAATATGCAAAGATAATGAAACACAAAAGATATTGCTACATGGCTTTAAAGGACATCACATCCTATTTTAAAAATCACATTTAGAGCTGCTTCCATCCTCTTGACTTAAGGTACAAAGTCCTTCTGTAAGGACCCCAGTGAAGAGACTGTTAGTTCCAGCAAAGCCAAGAGAACAAATCAACTGTGACAGATCATTCCTACGTCTTATAAAAGATGTATTGGAAGACAGGGATAGAAATGGTTGAACGGAACTATACTGACTGAATGGTTTACTCTGGATAAGTACACACCAAATATACTCATGTCCAGATAAATCATGGCTAACAGTTGACCCCAAAAGACTTCAGACAGAAGCTCTGTAGTCTTCTAGTGCACTGTTAAGATGAGTTTCTCTCATACACACCTTCGTTTTCTCAAATAAAAAACAAAGGCATTAAGGTAGATAGTCTCCAAAGTCTATTGCAACTCAGTGTCTATGAACCTTCATGAACTACTTTGGTCACAATGAGAGTAAAACATTGTGTTTTGTGACCAAATTTAAAAATTAAATGTTAAATATGGCCTAGTTCCCTGGCAAAATGTTACTCATTTGTTTATACCAGAAAAGTACTTAACACACTGCATTTCAATTTTTGTTGTTTGTTTTGAGATGGGGTCTTATATAGCCCACACTGACCTTGAACTTGCTCTGTGATCAAGACTGGCCTTGAACTCCTGCTCTCCCTACCATTACCTCCAAAGTGCTGGGAAAATAGGTATGTGCTACCTTGTCTGACTTCACTTTATATAGTACTTTAGATACTGATGTCTAAACAAATAATACATCTAGATGCTAACTGTTGCCACCATGGAAACATCAACTGAGTTTCCTTTCATAGTCACAGGTCAAAGTAGAATAAGACTTATCTTCATTTTATTTTACTAAAAGGCATCAAAAATTTACTTTCTGCTTATTTTCCCACTAATTCAGTGTTTGTAAAATCCAGAATGTGAATGCTACACTTCAACATGCCTGTCATGTTGCTACAAAAAACAAAACCTCAAACAAAACAAATGGAAAAAATAGTAAAAAAGAACCAAGGTTTTCAAAGGTCTTTAAAATGTGAAAGTATAGCCTAAAGATTAATTGGACTAGAAATAGAAGTAAGGGAGAATGACACTTCTCTTAGTAGTTAAGGCTGTGTTCAAGCGATACTGGAACACTTGTCAAACACATAGGCCTCTGCTTGCTCATTCCTGAGGTGGTACAGTCAATCACGGAGTGTCCCCACTATGACTGAAAGGTTCATCTGGACTGGCTCGGAGTCCAAGTTCATCATGAGGCTGTCCCTGTAAATAGAACTGTTGGAAGGGCCTGGGGAGGGGAATCTAGCTTCATAAATGCCATAGCTCTTTGGGGACATGGAAACCCAGTCAGGCGGGCCTGGGAACACACTTATCCTGCTCCATTGGTATTCTCTGTAGGCACAGAGTTACTCTATTTCTGCACAGAGGGATGTTTGGACAATGTAAGGAGAGAAAAATGAAGAGAAGGAAGATGAAGCAGGGAAGAGAAAACAGAAGACAGAAGTTCTAGAGAAAGATCATTTTAAAAAATGACCACGAAGCAGCAGCTCTGGATGATTCTTGAACAAGAGCAAACAGACCTAATGGAAGTGCAGACTGTAGCAAAGGGAAACAGGGAGGCTGCCCCCGTGGAGAGGACAGACTACAGTATGGAGTCATCAGCATGTGAGCCAGACCAAGAGAAAGCACGCAGACTGGAGCACACTGCTAACATGAAAGCCATGCCAGCTACTTCTCCCAGGCCCCTCTGGTTGGACTGGATCCAGCAGCTACTCCTGATCTCCTCTACCTTCCTTCCAGCATGCTCCCTCTTGCCCTGCCTGTGACCTGGAGGAAGAGTGGGTGCTTCAATGCAGACCACCGTTAACGCTAATTGCCCATCCTTTAACCTGCCAGGTGATGGTTCTCAAAACCTGGTGGACCTAGATTGTGCAGACTGGGCAGAAAGTGAAAGTTCATGAAATTCAGTTAGTTGCCTTTTCTCTCAGCCACTTTCCTAGTGGACTCAAAGATTTATTCCCAATGGAGACAGATGTGGAATTATCATTGTCCTGATGTGTTTTCCTTAGAACATGCCCATGGTTGGGAGACCACCATGCTCAGCAGTAGACAAACAGCAAACTCCCCATAAATGAAAAGCTTAACTTCAGGTTGGGGCTGGAAGTGAAGGAGGGGGGCTGAATACATATTAGGGCTGAGAACAGTTGATGGAGGGAAGGAGAAACTGTGTCTTTGGGGATGTAGGGCATGGAAGGCCCCTTCTTTCTTTTCTTTTCTCTAAGAGGTCTTTTGCCACAAGAGCCACCTGTTCACATCATCATGAAGCGAGTCACTTGACTTTGGGAAAATAGTCTGTGGTCTCTGAAGCAAAGAGCCTGCTCCCTGCCCTTAGCACCTCCTTCACCCTGAGTCAATGGTACTTAAATAGAATGTTAGCAAGCTGGGGCAAGTTGCCACACAGCTTCTATGTCCTTAAAAAGCTGTGTCCACTCAAGCAAGATGAAACACATGGACACACACACACACACACACACACACACACACACACACACACACACACACACACACGCACACACCGAGACACACACACACACACACACACACACACACCAAAAGGAAAACAATAACCAAGACCCAAAACCTTCAATCTTGTATTCAAGGGTTTTCTATGCATTGACACCATCTTGACTTCAACATATTTGGGAGTTTGAAGTTTATTCAAACTTTAGGCACCCCAAGGCTACTCTGAGATTAAAATGTCACAAGTAAGAAAAAATGCTCTGATTCTCTTTCCCTCCCTCCTCCCTCCCCCCTCTCTCTTTCTGTGTGTGTGTGTGTGTGTGTGTGTGTGTACACGTGCGTGTGGTGTTCAAGCATGCATGCATATACATAGACACTGAGACACATGATTTGGGCTCAGTGTGTCATTTTTCAGAGCCCCACCTCATTGATCTCGTCTCGTGTACTGCAGTACTCCAGGCTGCAGGACAGGACCCGTTCACATTCTTTGGCATTGGCACTCCAGTTCCTGCTCTCCAATTCAAGGACTTCCAGCTGCTGTTGTAGGTTCTCTGCAGAAATATTGGAGCAATTCTGGAAATGAAGGATGTGGGAATAACCAAAAGAAGCTGTGAAATGGCCACATGACTACATGCCATTTGCCCGTATTGTGATGCTCACAAATAACTTTAAAAGAGATATAGGATCCTAATTTATTTTACCCTAAACATATTGGAATCTAATTATTTTAGAAAGAAGTCAGAAACTCAACATTATGGACAAGACACTTCTATTCTTGAATCTCATCATCAACCCCAACTCCTCAGAGGTGTCATTCATGATAAGGTCTAATTTATACTTCAAAAAGCATAAAATATGCATTAGAAACATTCTGTCTCAGCGCTGTAATTTTCTCATCAACTTGAGTTTAACCTCAGGTTCATTATGCAAGGGCTCCAATCTCTATCTAGCACAGAGGGGATGTTGGCACCAAGGCCAGAAGAGGGCTAGAGAACAATTTATGCTATTTGTGGAAAGTGAGATCTTGCTTTCTTTTCACTTTTAAAAGTAAATTAACAAATGCTATAAAACTCCTAGCAAACTTTGACACTGGCCAAAGTGGGTTCTTTTAAGAGCAACAAATTTTTATAGTCTGCCTTTTAACTTAAAGCACAGACACTAAGCTCGCTATATCACATGTACCCTGGTGGGTACGTTAAATGAATTTTAAAATGAAACTGTGGTTTTTATTAATAATGAAGTAAATATAACCTTTCCCCATCAAATTATGAATTTGGAGAATTTTTAAAGCATCAGAGTCCAGTGCATTAGTTATGAACTTTTGGTCAGGAAATACATTCAGTTCTCTTAGGCTCCTCTTCTGACATCTGACCAGTGGTCTAAAGCAGATATAACAACCGACACCAAAACCCAGGTCAGAAGCAGAGGACCTTACCCCCTCCACTCTGGGCTTTTATAGCTGGCTGGCAGTATCTCTGGACTTCAGTTTCTTTCTCTATAAAATGGGCTAGTGGTCTGAAAAGACTCTAGGACCCAGTAGTCTTTAGGATCTATAATACTGAAGCACCATTGTCCAGTAAAAATACAGTATTAGTCATAAAGTAATTGAACAACTTCCAATAGTCTCATTGAAAAGCAAAGAATAAATAAAATTAACCCTCATAGTAAAATGTAGTTAACCATGTATATCAAATATTATCATTTGTAACATATATCCAATGTAAAAGTATAAAGATCTTTTTATCACACATTTTTGAAATCTAGCATGTATATCATACTTTTGAATTTTGCTCAGTTGTGGCTAAATTTCTGTCAGAAATACTTGATCTAGATGTAAATTTCTCAAAATTTACAGTTGCAGAAATCTAATGTCCAAGACCAAGGTTCTATTTTAAATTAACATGATTACAACATGTATTAAACACAGTTTTTACACTCAGATTTTCTCCTTAAATTTTATTTGTCTGTTAACAGTGGTAGAAATTTACAAACAATAAGCACCCCATTGATTTCATGTCTTTTTAAATTTAACATACGGGGGCTAGCGGATAGCTTAATAATGACGCACTTGGTTAGTATGTATGAGGTTCTGGGTTCAATTGCCAGCGTCACACACAAAAGCCTCAATTCAGATTTAACACATACTAAACCATCTGCCTGTTTCTTTCATATTTCAGCCCATGTGACTATGAGAGGGAGGCAGCTGTGATGCTGCACCAAGATGCTTACAGGCTGTTGAACGGATGAAATGATGTCCACTCCCAAAGAAAGCACCAGCCGATGGAGATGCTCTATACGAGCCCGCCTTTCCTGAAAATGGTTCAGTTGCATCTGGACCTCCCCAGGACCTCCCAGTTCCATGGACTGCTCAAGAAGTCCCAGTTCCCTCGATTTTATGAAATGCATCATCTGGAATTCAGAACATTAGCACTTAACCTGCTTTTTCCAAAACCTGTTTTCTGTAATGCTTTACTGGCTTGTTGAGATGCTACCCAGTCCATCCAGAATCATTAGTCCTACAGATACAGATACACGTTGCATTATTCCTAATCCAACAGGATTACTTTGATTAGTTTTATGAAAGAAAGAAAAAAAAATCTTGGACCCATAATCCCAAACTCTAGCAAGATCTTGGTCTGTGATTTAAGTAAACTATTTTTAAAAAGATTTTCCTATTAATGGTTTTGAGTATTTTTGCCTGCACACATCTGTGTACAAGTGTATACATTTACTTAGAGGCCAAACAGGGTGCTGGAGTCTCTGACCTGGCATTAAAGATGGTTGTGAACTGTCATGAAATAACCAATAAATGGTATATATTGAGTACTCCATGCTGACAGGCTCTTGACATGAAAAAATAAAAGAAAGAAAGACAGATTTTCTTTTTTTTGATCAACCTGCCTCCCAAGAGCTAATGCTTGAGTTGGGAAAATAAAATCTAGTTTCATAAAAAAAATGGCAGTCATGATGTTAGAAGTGTTAGATATAAGGACCAGTGATTGCTGTGGGAATTTAGAAGGAATCACTGGGCAGGAAGGAGGTTTGCTGGAAGGAAGCACAAAGTTTATTCTAACAAAGAGAAGAAAAGGATCTGCCTGGAAATGCCAAGTTGAGAGTCGAGGCTTAGAAGTAGGAACACAGGTGCCATACTCAAAGGAGAAGGAAGAGCATAGCCTGTCTGCAGCATGAGGCAGGATAGAGGAACAGTGAGAGATAAATAAACCAGCAGCGTGGATAAACCTCTTATACTAAGGCAAGCAATTTGGTTATCATTTATTGTATAATAATAACATTTTAGTTTAATCTTGTAAAACCCTGTAACCTTCAGCCAACCACAGTGAGACTTACTTCCTCCTTGACTTGGTGGAACTGGACCGTCTTGTACAGGAGTTTCTCATAATCCTGGATTCGCTCTCTCTGCCTCTCATGGAGATGGATTAGGTCCTTCAGTTGTTCAGACTTCTCCTTCAAAGGGGCTCCCTGACCACCTAACACTTCCCATTCTTTCATGATATGCTGAACCTCGTCATGCAGTTGCTAAAAAGCATGAAAGCAATGGAAGAAGTGCAGCTTTAAGTTTTTATTTTACAATGAAGAATCTGATTATTTAAATAATCAATCATTCTCATATTAATGGATACTTTTGAGCCTTCTCCAAATCCAGACTCCGTGCTTAATGATGGAGATATCAAGACACATTGTTCGGTCCTTACCTTCTCAGAACTCTATAAACAGCATGGGGGTGAGAAGGCAAGTGTTTCAAAGAAAGATGGTAAAATGGAAAGCCATTTGTGTCTATGATACACCAAATGTACTGGGCTTCAGTTAAGTAGATACTCTTTTTCTGATATTTAATATAGAGTAGGACTGTGTGGTATGATAAGGACACTGAGAAGATAAGTACAAAAATACATCAGGGGAATTCCTTGTGCTCTGTAATGAAAGAATGATGAGAATGAGCCCCCAGCTGAACAGCACACAAGATACACCGGCTCAAAGCAGTCATGCCATAAGCCGCAAATAGCCACCACATGGAGAAGGGATAAACTGCCTTCCCTTTTAGTCAGCACCGCTCAGAAATCCCATACAGGAATCCAGACCCTGGAGGAGAGCTTGCAAAGGGCAGATAACTTAAAGAGAATTCTACTGATATCCTAGGAGCAGATCTTATATCAAAGAAAAAAGTAAAGGGAATGCTGTAGGCTAAGGAGATAATTTTCAGAAGACTAACTTGCATTAGATTGCCAAGTTCAAATCAAGTATACAGACCCCAAGCAGAGATGGCACACCTCATGGTGACAGGACTAAATAACCTTAGCAATGGCTCCTAATTAAGAACTCATCCACACACGCAAATATGTACCAAAAGATGTGTATGTATGTGTACCACCCAGGATGTAGCAAATTGAGCTAGTAATACTAAATGGGAATTTGTATAGAAGCATTTGCTGTGGATAGTGATGATATATACATATATACATATGGAGTCTATCAATTATATTTCATATGTTTTGTCCTAACAGAGCCTATAATTAGATATTTCCCAAAGGAATCTCCAAACATCTGACTCTGGAATTCCTTAAAGCCAATACATATTAAGCGGTAACAAATAGATGCATCTTAGTTTTTCAACAAAACGCCAAGACCCAATAGTGTAAGTAGGGACTTGGAAGATGGAGACAAAAAGATCAGGAATTCAAGCTCACCCTTAGCTATATAGCAAATCTGAAGTCAGCCTGGGCCACATAAGACTCTACCTCAAAAAAAAAAAAAAATGAATGAATGATTAAGTAAAGAACTAACTCCACATAGGACACTCTGACAGTCAGCCAGCCTTGGAAGTTGTGTCCAGGAGTGGCAGGGATATGGAGGCAAGGGCCTGAGGCTGGCACATGGCTTTATCTTCCACATCCAGAGGGCTTCCTTGGAAGGTGAATGAAGCCTACAGAAAAACATATTATCAGGCAGGGCGTGTGGTAGAGCTGGGATGATGCTATGTGGAAGCAGTGATTTGGGGCAGCCCAATGACAACAGAGCTTCTAGGTTAAAGGTGGCCAGTTTTGTTCTGAGATGCCCTAATTTAAAATACTCCCTAAGAAAATAGTGACAACACGGTGAATACGCTAATACATTAATTAGAAATATAAATTAAAGTAGTGTAAGGTGAAAAGCATATTCAGGATTCGGTATGGCTTGAGTGTTTGGGTATCATCAGATACAAAAATATGTAGGGGAACATTAAGAAAATTATTAGACTAAATTTTTAGACTAAAAGGATACCTTTGTTAAAGAAAAGGGAAGTTTATAAAGCAAATTGGAACTGGGGAGTTGGAACAGATTTTTTTTTCATTTGCCCAAACCCGTGCATTCACTTCTTCACCTGAAGCTGAGGCTTCATGGCATTCCACCTTCTTCGAAGATCTGACATAGTCTGGAGGTTCCCTCCAAGGTCAAGTGCAGAGATGGGCATAAGAACTTCATGGAGAAGTTTTACGTTGTGAGTAGTCTGAAACAGACATTGACAATGATGAATGTGTTTCTGATAACTCAGTGCATGCGGTCACTCGGCGGTGACATGGTGTACCATTAAGCTTTTCAATCCCCTGTAAATGCTGACCCTCACCAGTGAGGTTGCATAAGGCCCTTAATTTCCTGTGACTTTTATGTTATTTTTACCATGGTAACATATAAAATGCACAATTTTCACCATTTCTAAGTGTACCATGAAGTGGCATCAAGCCATATATATTACTAGGCAACTGTCACCACCTCCACCTACAGACTGCTTTCATCAACCTGAACAGGAACTCTGAACCATTAAACAACTCCCCATTCCCTCTCCCCTTCTGGCATCTCCAGGTAGCATCCACTGTGATCTTTGTCTCTATGAATTTGGCTACAGGCTTGCAAATAAGCAGAACCACACAATTTCTGTCTTTTTGTGTTGGATGATTTCACTTGGTTTTGAGGCTCTATCACATTTCGTGTATCAGGATTTATTCTTTAGAAAGTAACATTCAACATTACTTTTTTATTTGTTTGTTTTGGTGCTAGGGTTCAAATCCAGAGCTTTATGTATGCCAGGTAATCCATCACTAAGACAGCCCATTTCCTTACCTTTTTTTTATCTTTAGTTTTTTTTTATTTTTTATTTGAATTAGAAACAAGATTGCTTTATATGTCAATCCCATTTCCCTCTCCCTGCCCTCTTCCCCTGCCCCTCCCAACTAAAACCCTACCTATCACATACCCTTTCTGCTCCCTAGGGAGGGTGAGGCCTTCCATGGGGGGGTTATTCAGAGTCTGTCATATCCTTTGGGATAGGGCCTAGGCCCATCCCCGTGTGTCTTGGCTCAGGGAGTATCCCTCTATGTGGAATGGGCTCCCAAAGTCCATTCCTATGCTAGTGATAAGTACTAATCTACTACAAGAGGCCCCATAGATTTCCTCACTGACACCTAGTCCCATGCTGTTTTCCCAGCTATCAGTCTGAGGACCAAGACCTCCCCCCTGTTCAGGTCAGCTGCTTCTGTGGGTTTCACCAGCCTGGTCTGGACCCCTTTGCTCATTACTCCTCCTCCTCTGCAACTGGATTTCAGAGAAGCTAGGGAAACAAGGAGGACTATAAGAGAGACATACATGGTCTTCTGGAGAAGGTGAAAGGGACAAGAACTCCTGAGCAAATTGGGAGCATTGGGGGAAGGGCAGAGGGAGCTAGGAGAATGAGAAGGGGAGAAGAGGGGGGAGAGGAGGACATGAGGAAGCAGGAAGGTTGAGTTGGGGGAAGAATAGAGGAGAGCAAGATAAGAGATACCATAATAGAGGTTTACAAAGAAATCAGGTACTAGGGAAATGTCTGGAGATCTACAAAGATGACACCAGCTAACCATCTAAGAAACAGAGGAGTGGCTACCTTAAATGCCCTCCCCTGATAATGAGATTGATGACTAACTTATCTGCCATCCTATGGCCTTTATCCAGCAGCTGGTGGAAGTAGAAGCAGACAGCCACAGCCAAACACTGAATTTCCTTACCTTTTTAAGTTTCTCTTTGAATGCTTCCCACTGCTGTCTCCCAGGCTTCCCTTCAGTGGCTTTGAGGTACCATGCCATTCGAAGGTGGCTGAGTTCTTCCCTTCCAGTTGTTTGCTTTTCCATAATGTTCTTCATAATGCGCATCTCATTTTTAACATTTAATATTTCATTCTCTTTTGCCTGTTGAATGAATAATCCATGTAATAGCTTTCTTTCCTAAGAGATACATTTTTCTTTTGCATTCAGCTATTTTAGGTGACAAGCACTTCATCACACCAAAGAGGGTACAATTTAGACAGAGAAGTCTGGGCTCATGTGCAGAGGCACAGTTATCTTTAGACCTATGTTCTCAGCTTGGACATTGGGTGCAGGATCTTTAAAGACCTCAGTGGTATTTTAATGGTTTAGGGGGATCTAAGAATAAAATGATATATTCTACAATTGTTATTTGTAAAATTTAATAAATTATTAAAAACATTAGACAACTATAGTGGGAATGACTCTACACTGTATTTTTATATATGGTATAAATAAAGTTGGGGTATCGTTTACAAATTTTTTGTAGACCAGCTACAAGAGCTAGTTCCAGGACAGCCTCCAAAGCCATAGAGAAACCCTGTTTTGAAAAAAACAAAAGAAAGAGAGGAGGAGGAGGAAGAGGAGGAGCAGGAGGAGGAGGAGGAGGAGGAGGAGGAGGAGAAGAAGAAGAAGAAGAAGAAGAAGAAGAAGAAGAAGAAGAAAAACTAATAAAGTATAAAATATTTTTCAATGTTGTATTAGCTAGGAATTGCATTTTATCAATGACAACTACAGCCATAAGGGTATAGTTGTCTTTGTAAGGTCTAGAAAAGGTCTAGCCATCATAAGACTTGAGAGTTAGCAGGATATAAAAAGTGTTTTGTCCATTCCAGGTGATGAATAATTTGCCTATAATCTATTTAGTAAACATTTTCCTCACTTTACTTTGGTATAGCACATGGAAATTTTTGTGGTTATACAGTCTAAATAAGGTGTTAAATTATCCATTTGTTTAATATTTATGTTCATTCCACATGTACTATTCTCTGATCTCTTGCTTTTTGGATGTCTTGGTAACAAGAAGGCTAATACTTAACAGAATTCTCAATATGCACTACTGTAAATTAATAAGTTGGCATGTTCATCTGCCAGACTTCTGGCTAAAGTCAATTAATTTGATTCAGACAAACTTTAGATGGAAAAAATCAATTTTAAGATTCAAAATACCAGTTACAGAAACACACCCAACTCGAAAGAAAGAGCCAGCTGTCATCTCTCTACCATCACCCAAGCCACACATCAACAATGTGCACTTAACAGACTCATGCTGTACAGATAGGGAGAATAAAAACATCCTTATCTGCAATTTTACCTACCAGAATGTCCACACATCAGTAAAGTTAATTATTATGTAGACTTAATACCTTTTCAATAAAGAACTTACCACTTGACTACTGATAAGACTAACAATGATGAAGTAAAGATAAAAGACTATCAAGAAGTAGTGGGAAGACATGGACTATTCCAATAAACAATATGAATTTAGATTCCATAATAGTCTGGAAATCTAGACATAGATTCAAGATATGAATTTGGATCCATGTTTTGCCGCAACCCATTCCTCAAGAAGACAACACTACCAGATTATTTCTGCAGGAGTGATACCTGACACTTGCTAAGGATTGACCAACTCGGATAAAAGATAGGACTGCACATCAAAAGCAAGAGGAAAAACTGTACAGCAGGAATACCTCTAGATGCATGTAACAGAGGTAACTTAGACACACTCTAAACACCCTAGATTAATATGGTCTAAGAAAGCGTGGGTGTGAAAGAAAGTCTCAACAATTATATCTCACTCTTAAACCACCTGGCATTTCCAGAATTAAAAGGTTTTCTGAAAGCCAGCAATTAGAGGACTACATAAAATACACAATTTGCAAATAACTTAACTCTCTTGTAATATAAATTAAAAACAGCTAAACTTGAGATAAAAGGATGTATACTAAGACAATAAAATATGTAAAAGGTAAAAGGCTGAATCAATGTTTCAAAGGAAAAGTAGCTTAGTATTTGTATAATAAACCATGTTATAATATAGGAACATGGATAAATTGCTTGACAATATTTTTTCTGATGTTTAAGGAAGGTAGTATCTAATTTGTAACTATTTAATGAATCCTTTGTTTCTACACAGGCTGATCACTAATATTCTTCAAACAATAAACGTTGAAACAAAGGGGAAAAAGATGAGTGTAGGTTAAATAGATGAGGATGTTAAAACCTGATACTGCCAAGTGATTTCTGTCTCCAGATTCACAATGCAGCTCTCAAGAAAATGGCAAATGTCAGTCATTCTTAAACATCTAGAGAAAGAAGGTCTAGAATATTAGAGAAAGGAAAATGGCCTGATTCTCAAACGGGGGCCATTCAGTATACAGATTGATAAATTTCACATTGACAGTCATGGTGGCTAGATCTTGCTTATAGTGCCTTAGGATACAGGGGAGTAAGCCCTTTGGGTATCTTATTTGAGGAAGTTTCCCATTATGGAATTGAATGTGTGTGTGTGTGTGTGTGTGTGTGTGTGTGTGTGTGTGTGCGCGCGCGCGCGCGCGCGCGCATGTGGGGGGCTGTCGGTGTGCACAGTGGTGATTAGAATAAGACATATTGGAAGCAGTAATGGTCGTTTGTTTTTTAAACTGTTAGTCAATAGATTACTTCAGGAACTAGGATGTCAATCTTCCTTTTAGACATTTTTGTTAAAGAAGTAATTACAGCTATCAAAGATTGGCTTGATAAATCTACAGAATGAAGCCCAAGAGAAACAGTTAATAAAGTAGAGAGACCCAAATTAGTTTAACAGGATGAATCATAGGCTAAGACCAAATGAAATCAGGCAAGAAATATACAGACCCACATCTTTATGAGAAAGCTAAATAGCCTATACAGAGAGTCCAGACTAGATTGAGCCTAAGACTAAAAAGGTCGTGTGAGTGGCACTGGCTCATCATTCTATTAAGAGGACAGCAAGGAGAGATTATTGCTTAATGTGTTAGCACCTCATGTTTCAACTACAAGAAAAATGTCTGGTTGGTTGTAGTTGTAGTTCAGTTTCTGATTCCATTTCATGAGTGGGTTTAGCAAGTAGAAAATTTTAGCAAAGCAGATCAGCCAGAAGGAAGAAATTAAACTACATCATAAATGATAAATTTGTAAATGTGTAGTTGTAGAAAAGACTCATATTAAACATAGCAACTGCTTTCAATGTTGGAAGGAAATTCATATGTCATAGAAATTACCTATGAATGGTTTTTGTGCCTATGCAGCTACAGAGGCTTAGGACTAGATATGAAGATGGACTTATTTAACATTTTAAAAGCATTCTTTTTTTTCTTACAGCTAGCATTTTTCAACAATAAAATGAGTTGTTTTGCTGGGAAAATTCATTAGGCTTTGACAGAGAAGTGAAGGAACCACATTGTAAGAATTCTATGGGCTACTTCAGATGGATGAGCAGTAGACATAAAGGTCCTAGGATATTTTGATTATTTAACACCAGGTAATCAGGGCTTAGGATGTAGCTCTAAATGCCACGGAGCTTTGCTCTACAAAGATTCAGGGAAAGAGAGTGTCAAGCGGGAGAGTGTCAAGGGGGAGATAAAATAATACATGCAATGTGAACATGGAGGGAATACTAGGAGTGGAGAGATTGAAGCTGGGGTGGGGATGGGACAATAGGGATAACAGAGGGTTGGAGGTAGTTTTAAGCAAATACAATCAATCTTTGGAAACCAACTTCTTTAGAGCAAAGATTTATCACAATTATTGTCTTTGGTCCCTGGGAATTTTGTAAGGACCTTGCTGTCAACATCGACTTCTGTGGGATAGACTTCTGAGGACTCTATATGTAGCATTTGAATCAGAATAGCTAAAATAGCTTTCTTGTGATACAAGGGCTCTGCGAGCACAAGGCTTATAAACGCTGACCTTCAGAACCAGTCTAGCTTGAGTGAAGTTGAAAAGACCCCCCTCTGCCAGGACTGCTGAGTAATGGACAAGCTGAACTTTTGGAATGTATGATTTTGACTTTGAGGAATAATATCTACAAAAGGTGTCGGCTCACTTATTGTTATTCTCACCATATTTATTAAGTTAAGACACTCAAGCCCTAAGTCTTGGGTCAAAAAACTCTTCTTTAAAAACAACTGCCATCGCCGCTCAGCAGAGTTAGACCAGTACTTGACTTCAGCCTCATCTTCATCTTTCTGAGGGATTTCGGTCAGATAAAATGCCTTCAGTCTCTGAAGCTGCTCCTCTACCTAAAACAAAGAGGAGGCAGAGGAGAGGTAAGAGATTTTAAAATAAAAGAACACAGATTCAATTTGAACCCTGTATAAAATTAAACTGAAATTACATTTTCATCATTCCTTAAGTATCTATTGACTATTTTCAAGTTACTGAAAAACATGAAAATATGCTTCAGTAAGTGGCAGATAGGACTTCCGCTGTGTAGCAAAGTGAATTGATAAGTTTATTGCCAATCAGAAATATTTATTGTACCCCAGGTTATTTTTATGTATATTTTACAATTAGAATAATTTATTTAAGAGATCAGGTGGCTGCTCTGTTGAAAATTGAGTTTTATAATTAAAAAAAAGCACAGATAAAAATCAAGGAATTCAAATCAGGGGGAAGCAATTCGGGAAAAGACAATTAGTACTCAGCATATTACAATATTATGATTTATTAATTTTAATGTAATATTTGTATTGAGTATCTGATACAATGGTTTCAATCATATTCTCCACCTACTCCTCAATTTTTTCTAGATCCAGCCCCAACTTCTTTTCCTCATCTTTGTTTTATAAATATAATCTACTGAGTCCAGTTAGTGCTGCTCATATATGCTCATGCACATAAGACCATCCATTGGAACATGGTCAATCTCCCAGGTACTCCCTTAAAGAAAACTGACCCAGGGCTTTAAGGATGACTCAATGGTTAAGAACAATGGCTGCTCTTCCGCAGGACTCAGGTTCAATTCTAAGAACACATGAGGCAGCTCTCAACCATCTGTAGCTTCAGTTATAGGGGACCTTATGCCCTCTATGACCTTCACAGATACCAAGCACATAGTAGGTAACAGGAAAATATGCAGGTAAAACAAGCATATGTGCACGTTGCAATATAGTGCAATAATAAATAAAAAGAAAACTGACTCTCCCCTGTCCCAGTAGCCATCAACTATCAATAGGTCCTCAGTTAGAGGTAGGAGCTCATGAGCCCTCCCTCACCCACCAGGCTAGAACATTGACTGGCTTGATTTTGTGCAGGTAACCACAGCCACTGTGAGTTCAGGAGTGCAATTGTCCTGTTGTGTCCAGAGGACACTGTTCTCGTTCAGTCCCTTCTGGACCCTGTCTCTTCCACTCTCTCCTCGCACTCGGTGCCATGGTAGGGGTAGGTGGGTGAAGTATATACTCAATTGTGGCTGAGCATACTACTGTACAATTTATTTTTAATCATGGTGAACCATAACAAAAGGGCACAAATAATGACAAATTTTATGTGGGAGAATTAATTATAAATACCTTCACAAGTGAATCTTATTAAGACATACTACTTTTCCTCCCTAGAACTACATTTTAGCATTTGCTAGCCAAGGTTAGCAGTAGTCAATTATTTTAAATTACTCTCCTGAGCAGAGTTAATATACAATCAAATGTGTAACTATAGTCTAACAAGTAATGGGGTGATATAGAATTAGTGGAAAGCATTGGAATTAATTTGTATGCCTTCTGAATAATATTAAATGACTAATAAGACAAGACTCGTGGAACTTATAATTTACAAAAGCCATGGAAACACAGTATGAAATTTCAGGCAATAGTCACTTTACTTTGAAGATTTTAAGATCATTCTTGGTTGAAATGAACTTAGGACAGCCTGCACTAGCTCAGGGTCTGAGGTTCTTTCCTGATTTCCATATTATTCTTGCTCTGCTGATGTCTGTTCCCTAAGCACATACCATCTTTTCCTTAACTTTTTTCTTCTATTTATCTCTAAGTGAGCTACATAAAAGGCTGTCCTGTCCTTGGAGGATTCTAAGATACCTTACTAAGAATTGTTTATTTCCTCGGAGACCAAAGTTAGTTCTGTGAGGAAAAGGTCAATAAGCAAATTGTTAGAACAAAGACAGGTCTGTGTATACACAAAGTCAGTGCGTTACAGGGATGGGAGAGGACAATAGCAGCTCGATGCGAAGTAAGGACAGAAAAACTTGCCAGCACATGACATTTGGCCTGTCCCTGTCTAGGGTAAGAGGGAAAGGAGGCAGTCTCAGATGAAAGGCACTGGTGTCAAAGCCCAGGTGTGGAAGCACTGGCTGCATCGGGGAAAATGCATACTGTCAGTGTGAATGGAGTGCAGATTGTTCAGCTGACTGACAAGGAGTCCAGAAAGATGTTTGTACTGGGATGCGGCTGGGTAGGAAGTTCCACCTTGCTACTGTTCTACTGTAGCCAACAGAATCTGCCACCCTTTCACCAGTTTGATGCAGTCAGTAGTGGCCAACCGATGAAGTCTTGGACTGGGGAAACACCAAAGCAAATTGGGAGGAAGAGGTATGCAGAAATCTCTGAGGTTGTCTCAGTAGACATAGGGAAGTGTAGCCTTTGAAACAGGAATAGAAAGGGTGACAGAAACTGTAATGTTTACTAACTGCCCGATGACATCTGCCTAACTTCTCCAATCCTCAGTTTGCCTCTCTTATAAAATGATGAAAATGCTAGGTAGCTAAGATACAGAAACAAGGAACACAATGAAATCAGGAATTAAAAGCATGGGGCCTAACACAAAGTCAGTGCTCATTAAGAGATGGACTAGAGAAGACATTGAACTCGGGAATGACTAACACATCCAGAAGGCTCTTTATAAAGAACAGGGACAATATGCAAACTGGCATGCTTTACTGGCTGTAGATTTCAATAAATATATTAAACATCCTGCATTGAAATATAGTGAATTCTATGTTAAAGTATACCTCAATAATTTTCAAAACACTAAAGAAGATGAGAATAGGCAGCTGTGTTAAAGTTGAGCAGGATGAGGGCTGAAAATACCACACTTTAGTTTCTGATAGCAGGTATCTCCTAAGAGATGGGTAATGTCAAGAAGAGCTGACACATGGCAGGGCTGGTAAGTGAGTGAACTGAAATTGCAACAGGGTGAAGTTTATGGAGGATGAGCAGGTAGAAGAATACGATCTTCCCTTTCCAATAATTTGCACAGAAGGGAAGGAAAATGATGGGAGGGGCAGATTTGGTGGGAATAAGACTATAGCTATAGACTAAGCACAGAAAGAAGCAATGGGAAAGACAGATAGTGAGCCTCAATGGTCTTGTTTGCCATAGTGTTTGAATTCCAAAGAATCACCAAGCAATAAGCAAACTAGGGAGCACATGGGGCATCCAGGAGAGAGAGAGAGAGAGAGAGAGAGAGAGAGAGAGAGAGAGCCATAAATTAGTAACCACACCAATCCTCAACACTGGCTGCTTTCCTGGAGGAGTGCCCAGAAGCTTCCACAAAGAAACTGAGTAGAGTATTGGACTGACCAAGTGTTAGGAATTGGCAGGGTGGTCATAATGGGATAGAGAGCAAGGAGTAGGTTTAGAGAGCAGAATGAGGATGAGTAACCAAGAGCTGATGAGGCGAAACAAACAAACAAAGCAAAAAAAGAAGGCCAGAAGTATAGGGAAATGATATGTGAGAGTGGTGTCAGGATTAGGATGGAAAGCTCAGTCAGGTAGGAAAGGATATTGAAAGTGGGAAAATTGAAGGACATGTGGTGTTTTTAAGGCAGTATTGTTATAGAGCTAAGGCTCCGTTTCTGCAGAAGATCTCAGACCCAAATGCTATAGTGGGACCAGGAAGGAGATTCTTAACATGATACTAAGTAGGTACAATTCTGGCCATGATAATGCAGAGAATGAGTGTTGCTTCATAGCAGCTCTAAAATCAAGGATTCAAACTGGGTGAGGATGGTACACTGTTAGGATGGTGGGAGAGAGAAAGTTTGAGGGCACTACAAAGGCAGAAGTGAGAAAATGGAAGCCAAGCATGTTACCTAACTTTAGATAGCTATACTCCTATGTGGACCTTGCTCCCATTAACACAGTGTCTGTAACCCTTCACAGAAGAGTTATCTGCATTCATACAAGGTTGCCTGGAACCAGAATCAAGTGAAGAGCAACTCCAAACTTCTCTATAACTGATGCCACCCTCAAGAAACTTTTCTCTGAGAGGTGTACTCTTAGTGTACTGGAGGGGATAGTAGAGATTAAAGCTTCAAAATAAAGCTTCAAAAGCTTGGTGGCAACATTAAAGGCATCCAGGCATCAAACAAGGTAGGTTCAAGGATGAATCAGTCACCCGTGTCTTCCCGTTTTGTTTATTCTAGATGAACCATACCTTGGTGCTGGAAAGAAGGCTCAGCAGTCAAGAGCATATATTGCTCTTACAGAGGATCTGAGTTTGGTGTCCATCACCTAAATCAAGTATCTCACAATCTCTTGTAACTCCAGATCCAGGAAATCTGGCACCCTCATCTTGCTTCTATGGGCAATGCGTTCACATCCACACAAACCTCACACTCACATATACACGTAATTAATAATGCTAAAAGATACTTTTTAACAAAAGTATCATACTATTCCACTACAGTTAGTATTCAAAGGGATCAATGATCTAAATAATGAGTATTTCATAATAATTTTGTTCTTTATTTAAGATACTATAAGTATCTATAAGGAAGTTCAAAACATGTTATAATACATTATTTATACATTCTATTTATATTATTCTAGGTAAAATTACCTACTCTTTGGGGTTTTGCATGGGCCTTGAAGAATAAAGGATATATATAGGCAGAGACACAAACTCTCCACTTGGGTGGAATTTCTATACCCACAGAAAGCAGAAAGATGGAAAGATGGACAGAGGCCGTCTTGCTGAAGCAGGTCAACATACCTCTTCTGATGACTTTTGAAATGCCACATAAGTTTGCAGGACTTGTGACCTGTAGCTGATGCTTCGACCAAGTATATTTAATTCTTCTTCTAGCCATTTTGCTTTAAAAGAAAGCAATGCCACTTCTCTGAGTTCAAGTTCATTTTTCTCTGTCATGATTCTTGCTGCTGCTTCTAATATGTGCGCTGTCTCCTATGAAAGCAAAGCACATGGGGTCAGGAGCTGACAGGGGAATCATGAGCATTCACATTCCATTACCCTTCGGCACACCCATCTATTACGGTTATTAATTGAACTTGTACTGAGAATTTCCTCAATCAAAGTAAGGTATAACTTTCAGAATTCTAAATAGGAAGGAAAAGAGGCACTTGAAACTGCAAACTATCTCCAATCCTTCTTTGGCTCTATCAAAAGCTGAAGGCTTCTAGTGCTTAAGGTAGAGGTGTGTTGCTCTGAGGCTTAGAGAATCAAGACCCAGTGTCCAGTTTACAGTTCCTGAGCTGTGTTGTGCTGGGATCCTAGGCTACTCAATCCCTGGGGGAGCTCTTGAACTCTTCTAGCAAGCTGGGCTTACAGTATTTAAACCCTCAGCTCTGGCTTTTACTCTTCCCTGCCTCTGGGCTTCTCAGGAGTTTTCACTTTTCTTAGCCACCCTAAGATTTTGCCATTGGTATTGCTGTAGAACTCTTGGCTGACAATACAATTTGGCCTCAGGCATCAGCTCTTCGATTCTACCATTTCTTTGCTGCTGCCTCTGCCACCAATGCTTGAAGCCCCAGCAGTCATATCTGCTCACTATACAATTAATTCAGCCTGTTCAACCTATGATGTAGACCACAAGTAAACCAAGAGATCTCTCAGGAGAGGAATTTCTTATGGCCTACTGTTGCAGCACAGGGAGACATTATGAAGGGGCGAAGCTCCTCAGACTAAGCTCACAATGTCAGCCAACAGCCTGCTGGCACAGGAAGGAAAGGAGAGTGGTAAGTCACTACTAGGACTTGGATTCTGCCAGTGACAGCCTGGATATATGTGCTTTCCTGTCCCACCAATCACAGCTTTCTCTAAGGACCAATCCCTAGCCTCCTAAAAGTGCAGTCTCACAAGCTTGTTTCTGAGTCACTAGGGGAGGTACTCTTCTTCCTCCCTGACCCTACTGAAAAATGCTATTACTAGGCTCAGAACTACTGGGAAGCTGGGTGGAGTGGGGTGGGGTAGATAGGAGTTCTTCAGGGAAGCTCTGGGTAAGGCTATTGGGAGGGTAAGGCTCAAGAGGGTTTTTCTGGTGATGGTATAGCTGGAGCAGCAGTGTCTAGACCAGTGGTTCTCAACCTTCCTGATGCTGTGACCCTTCATGTTGTAGTGACTCCCAATCATAAAATTATTTTCACTGCTACTTCATAGCTATAATTTTGCTACTGTTGTGAACCATAATGTAAGTATCTGATATGCAAAATATCTGATATATGACCCCTGTGAAGAGGTCATTTGACCCCTAAAGGGGTCACAACCCACAGGTTGAAAACAACTGGTCTAGCACAAGGCCTCCAGAAGCAGAAGTCTGTGGCCTTAGCCACAGTCCTAATTGCTGTGTTCCTTGTAACCAGATCTGGATTCTTCAAGGCATTCATGAAGTGCTCAAAGCAGCCAAGATTGCACGATGATAGTTTAGCCAGTAGCCAAAAGAGGGGCTGTTCGGCAGGCAGCTCCCCTATTCAAGGTAGTAGAACACAAAGAAGAGTCTCACAGCTGTCAATCAAAGGCTTAAGCTGGCCTGGCCCCTACTAGCTTAGCTTATTTAAGGGGAAAGTAAACATTAAAAGGTGCTTACAATAAAGACCTGTCATAACATTAGCATTTATAATAGTACGTAACAGTGCTTAACTCCTACCTAATTGCCCTTAGGGAGAACCAGTCTCTCTGATCCTTCTCAATATATTACTTGCATGTCTATTCTGATGGAGTATAAACAAACTTACTGCCAGTTACATAAAAGTGCAACACATAACACTTGCTAATTAACTATGCTACTGCTTCATATATTTATTATACTATATTTTTATTGTTAGAATTTTTTCTACACACACAAAAAAATGTACTGTAAAATAGTATGCCTGCTTGGGCTGGCAGCAGCTTCAAACATAGTGTTTACCTTTCTCTATTGCATCAGAGAACCATGCCTAGTGACTGACCTGTTCTGCCTATGCCTGTACAAATGCATGCTGTGATGTTCACACAATAATGGCTAAATCATATAACAGCACGTTTTCTTCTCAGAATGTCTCCTCACCATTAAGTGATACATGATGAAGAGCCACAGAAAGAGCCCTGTAAAATTTCCTGAGAACGAGCGAGGAATCAAGCAGAATTAAAGAGATATTTTCGTGTTCTCATTTGCAGCACAAGGGATATCATCCCTAGTTGTGTTTAATATGTTTTCCAGGAACCCCACTGACTGTACAGAATCACAATTTGCCAGCCCTGCTTTGTGACAACACACTGCAGAATAAAATGGAGCATGGGATTTCTCCCCCTGAGTTCTCACTCATGCTTCTAAATTTGAAAGGAGAATGCCTCCAGACATGGCTTAAGCATTTAAAATGAGGATTTTTTTTTCTCTAAGTCTCATTCTAAAAAGAAGGAAAGGAAAACAAGTGTGCCTGTCTGCAGTGAGGGTACTGTTCAGAGGGAGGGTCTTCTGTGGAAACCTGGAGAAACAGGGCTTTTCTTGCTGATGTGGGTGAGCAAGGGGAAGCACTTACTTTTCTGAATCTATGGGGCAACCTGTGGGTTGCAACCCTTTTTCAGGGGTCATATGTCAGATACCCTGCATATCAGATATTTACATTACAATTCATAACAGTAACAGTAACAGTAACAAAATCACGTGTTATGTTTGGGGGTCACCACAACATGAGGGACTGTATTAAAGGGTCTGAGCATTAGGAAGGTTGACAACCACCAAGGTCTAGCAGGAATCACTGAATCTAAGCCTCAAGAACACTGTAGGACGGAGCTTGAGATGCTGCCAGTAGGGGGCAGGGCACTCAAAGTCTGAATATGGAGGGTGAAACAAGGCTGTGGTTTTGATTTACCTCCTTGAAGAGTACAGTAGTGACAAGTGTTGTTTGTGGAAGTTTTCTTGTGTGACTTGTTCTTGCAGAAAATCACAAATTGTCTTAGAGAAGAGCTTTCCCTGCCTAGTCTGTCACCTAGAAAGAGTTGCTGTTCAGGCAAGGAACAGATGCCAGCTAAAACCACAGTTGCAGTGAGTATAAATACACTAATGAATGGACACAAAAGTACAAATCATCTACACACACATAATACTGCTCAGATTTTTATGTCATTATCTATTCTGCATTAGCTTAGAATTGCAACTCCCAAAGGAGCTGAGATTAAGTTCCATAATTTTGGAAATTATTTTTAAATAATTATTTACAACATTATTATCCTAATAATAACTTTCAATTACCTTGGCTTGGATATCTAATTCCAGATATTTATTCAATATCTTCTCTGACTCAGAAGGGCTGGAACCGACATCCAATGTGTTAGAGAGAACTGGCCTGATTTCCTGAATTGACATTTCCACCTTGAGGAGCAGAGAATATATTGTAGTCTTAATAATATATACTTATGTGTAGGAGTATACATATAAGGAAATATTATTTCATACATTGCCATTGCATTTTACATGTGTATCAATTTTGATCTAAAATAGCTTTAAATATTGAAGAATTTTATATTTTGATAATGCCCATCTTCATATGATGTCATACTGGTAACATATGAGAATACATTCTTTTATTAACTGTAATTACTACAAACTGTCATCCATTCATATCCTTGAAGATCTTTTCTGTATTACCTACAAAGGATGGTAATGCACTTGCCAACATATTGGCAGAGATGAATTCATTTGTAGGTTGAATGAGACCAATTTGCTGGCACATCTAAGTGGAGGTGTTAGAATACCCCCTGGGCTGTTGTTTTTAAGGCTGAGGAGCTCTGGGAAACACCTTGTCCAGATGATAGTGAAAGTGGGGACCTATTGAATCATTTTGCTGTTGAACTGAGGAAACTATGATTTGATCTTTGGTTCACAAGAACCAAAGGCTAAGGTAACCCTGGAAGGGCTCCATTCCACTCAAGTTACTTGCTTCATCCCCTTGCTTTCTGTAGAAAGCACACTCTCCACAGCTAATATGATAAGAAGCAACAGGTGTTTAAATTCCTGCTGTGCTTTCTACCATCACTGAGTTAGCTGGACTTTCAGGCTGTATGGCATGCAACACCACACACAGCTGCCTCTGTGCTCACACTCTCCCTGGACCCAGGCAATAGGACACAGCTCACATTCCCAAGCCACTGGATCAATAACAGATGGGGGAGCAATTTAGTAGCCTCTACAGCAAGGTTCACTACCATTGTGTCGTCAGTGTACATGAGATAAAATGCTTCCAGAGTGAAAGCTACTGCATCACTCTGCAGAGAGGACTTCCCCCACCAATGCTTTTATGTAGATGACTATGTCTCTCACACTTGTTTTGTTCAATCAGTATGATAATGACAGTTTTGTCCCCAGAAAAACAAAACCCATAATTGTTGATAACTATTTGTCTGAAGTCTTCCTGTTCAATTGTGCCAGGGTAATGACAACTAGTATGGAACTGTACCTAGAGTCATGCAAACCAAGGGTCCTCCTTTCAATGCATGTCTGATGTACATTGATACTAGGGAGTGTATATAACTTTGTATATATAATTCAAGACTGGGGTGGCAGATTACATTAGACATTTATTATTGACAACCTGGGGCAGGTGTGGTTGATGGTTGATGAACAACAGTAAATTATAACCATTGTCCTGTTGTAGGACCTAATGTCTAATGTAGAGGAAATCTAAGGAGACACACTCCCCACACACACCCCATGCTCATAGTTGAACACCATCCATGAACAGCAAATAAAAGGTTTAAATTTTATTTTGTGAAATTACCTTCCTTAGGGAGCCTTCCATGGATGCTGCTAATTGCTGTTTCTTAAGGGCAAATTCCTTGTGTGCAGTACACTGTTCACTGAGATGATCCACTCGTTTCTGAATGCATTCCATCATCTCATGGATACCTGTCACCTGAGAGCTGAATGGAACAAGCCAGCTGTTAGTTCACTTGACCTTGACATAGAAGCCCTGACAAGAGGGAACATTTGAAAACAGATAGCCCTTTCATGTGCAGTGTGAGTTGGTCCAAGCTACTGCTTTTGGATAATGGAAGTTAAGTAGTTATCATGCTGGTGCAGCAGGCAGCCAAGCCAGAGTATGTCGCCTTGTTTTAAATCAGTCAGTCCTGAGGGAAGGATGAATCATGGCTTCTGAGACAGGTCTAATCTTTTCTAAAGGTTTACTTTTTAACATTTCTGTAAGATACTTCGAGAATCTTATGGTAAACGGCACAGTATGTTTACCAAGTTTTCCTGGGGGTATCATTTAAAAGCTTCATTTATTTCAAGATACTCTTTGAATAGGAATGTGAATCAGCCAATTAACAGAGCATTTGCTAACCCAATAGGGTAAAATATTTATATATTTTGTTCTCAGTGGTTATAAATGCTCAAGGCTATATTCACTAGATAAAACCCTAGTTATCACTAGCAATTAGGTATCAAATATGCTCATCCATATTTGATGCCTCACATTATCATTTTTCTAAGTTGTGTTGACCTATGAGACGAAGGTGACAGGAGGGCTCACAAATGACATGCCTTTCAAACCAGCTTGAGTTGGACTCCAATTGCTCCCTTCACAGGCTTCATCACCATTTCCCAGATAAGCATGTTCACAGTGGAAGAATACTATGGACAGAATAAACACTTCTAAATTGTTCGGCCTATTCCCAACACAGTACCTTGCCTACTGTCTTAGAAATGTCTTTAATTTCCTTCCACTCATTTTCCTTCAAATACTAGCAAAGGTTAGCATGATAACTCTTTAATTATCCTGAGAGGTTTTTGGGGAGTAGGATTTTTGTGTTTGCTTGTTGTTCTATATCTTGGAGCAAGGTACATATTTCAGGAATCTGACCTCAAAAATCAATTTATGAGTCAGAAAAATAAATTAAAGTAGTAATAAACTAAGGACAAGATCAGAAATGACCTATGGGTACAGAAATGCCACTAGAATGTATAAGGATGTCTCTGAGGTAGGGTACACTTGGATGTGCCATGTAGGTACATCAAGGGACCCAGACAAGCATAATTGTGAAATATGACATGAAGCCACTATGAAAAATATTGTTTCCGGTATATAATGTCCAGGAACATTTAAAACAATTAGTTTTATATCTAAATACTCACAATCAGTGAAGAAAATAATAAAGACATCAGGAGACTTTTAGAAATAATTCTTACTGACAGAAATCCACTCAAGTTGAAAACTGTATCCTGGAATATGAATTACTTTGACTAAGATTTAGGCTATGGTGTGATGTATTAAGAAGGTCTTTAAGGTCCAGGTGTCCTATGAGCAACATGTTGGAGTTTTCTATAGAATATTGAACTCTATAGTGGGAAAGATAAAGTGATTATGTAGCACTATGGAAAAGCACAGAGGAAAGGGAAATGGGAGGGATAGTAGACATAGGGAGAGGAGAGATAGTGAGAACGGGCAGAAAACACCACGGCAAGTTGCGAGTTACAGGTAAAATTTAGAAATGTAAAACAGAATTTGAAAAACAAGCTGTATCAACCAAGATGAAGGATGCTGACTTCTACTTCTGGGTCACCCTGTGGATCTTCACCCTCAACCCCAGCATGCACCCTACATCCATCACAGTTAGACATTCTTTCACTACAACTACAAATTTTGAATCTACTACTCCCTCGGGGACAGCATTTCTCAGTAAACAATTCCAGCAAAGAAAAACACTATTCACACTGCTGTGTGAGAGTGTGTGTGTTGGATGGTGTGTACGGGCTTATGAGTTTACATGCATGTGGAGGCTGCAGGTCAACATTGAGTGTCTTCCTCATTTACTCTTCATTTTGTTTTAATTTTTCCCCAATAACTTGCCCAGTCACAGGATGGCAGAAGAATATTTGAACATCTGAACCTGGGTATCTGTTCTTGAACTTTTTCTGAGTGTATAACACATGACATAGAACCAAGTGAAGTATTTTCCTCTGACTTTCTTTTGTTGGCTGCTGCTGACTTGCATACAAATAGACCAACTGGTTGGCAAGCTTCTTTTGAAATTGGTTGCTTTCTGTAGCTAAAAGCCATGTGTGCCTGTAGTCTGAAAAATGGTCACTAGAGGGACATACTATCTTGTTCAAATTATATACCCTGAAGGTCCTTATAGCACAGAGAACACAAAATAAGAAAACAAACCCAAATCAAGTGTTACTTCCATTAAAAAAAAATCACCTTTTGAAAAACCATAATTTTAATTATAATGAATCACAACCAATAAAATAGGATCTGTTTTGGCTTTTGATCACCTATGAGATTCTCATTTTGTGATCATTTGTTTTTTATCAGGCACTGTATCTCTAACACGGTAAATTCTTTAAGGAGAAGAGCTGGTGGTAAACTTTTCTTATAACCCTGGTAGCCTTGAGCACGCAGTCTTATAATAACGGAAGATTAACACATGTTCTTAAAAAAGGCAGACTCTTAGCTCTCTGAACCTGGCCTCAATCTTTCAACATAGCCTAGGGACCCTGAACTCTTGATCCTCCTGTTTCCAACTCCTGAGTGCTTGGATTACAGGTACATGCCACTATAGCTGGTTTATGAGATGCTGGGGAACACACTCAGAATTCAGAATCTAACTGTTATTTTGTTATGCAGACACGGTGTCAATCTGCATTCTAAACACTTATGTTTACAGTCACAGATTAGTGCTGTTCCTGGTCTCCTCAGAGAACGTTCCCTTTGCAGTGGGCAGTGGTCAATGTAGACTCAGGAGTGTCAAAGGACAAAGAATAGGTGACTGTGGAGTGACTGACCCTAAAGGCAATGCCACCCTCTCTATAGTTCAAAGAGCATAAATGGGGCAGAAGGAATGTAAGAGTCAGAGGATGGAGAGGGGAACTGTAGAGCAGTGTCTCCAGGGCCTGATAGGGCTGTTGCGCTCATAAACTACCTCCATGTAGCTATGGTTACTGCTATAAAAACCTACATAAGATTGGCCATCATGCAAGGCATAGAGGGCTATAAGGCCTCACTTCTCACTGAAGGAGTGTGCATAGTTACGGTGTTCTGGGGAAGCTTTTATCATTTTCTTCTGATAAGTGGTATAGCTTCTGATAAGTGGCCCAGGTTCCAGTAAATAACTCACTACTAATAATGCTCATTCAAGCAGCCATAAATATATTAATTGGGTCACATAAAAAATCAAAGTATGAGAGGGAAAAAGGGGTCTTAGCTAGAGAGGAAGGGAGATGAGAGAGGGTAATGAGGGTAAATAACCAAAATTCAATATAGAATGCATTAACTTGTCAAAGAATACAAAAATCTTAAAAAGGAAAAAAGGATTTCTGAAATCAGAACTCTTAAAATGTCACACTAACAGTATCCCATGGCCTGTGAATAAATGATTGCACTTTTGGCCACTTGCAGACATTTTCAGCTGTCTGAGATGCCTAGTTTCTTTTCTGGTGTGTATTAGCACTTACAGTTAGGTTCAAGCAATTTTACCATGGGTAGTTTGATTCAGTAGACAATTCCCTCTCTATTAAAGCTTTATGAGGACAGTCTGAATCACCTTGCTCCAATGAAATTATTGTCCACACTGCCCCACTCCTATCTGCAGCACAAACTCATGCCTCGGATGAAGAGGTTGCTAACTTCCCTGCCTAACCAAGAAAGTCCTTTCCCCCCCCTCTCTCTGTCCTTGAAAAGCTACCTCCCTCTGATTGGGTACTAATCTCTTCTATTTCTCAGTACCAATAGGAATATAAAGATGGTATCTACCCCATCCCTAATCCTAGGGCTACTACACTCCCCTTTGCTTCCTTAATGAGACCCCGATCTGTGGATTACAACCAGCCCAGATGCCATCATTTTCATTTAGAACCTTCCTTGCTGATTCTTATTTTCAGTACTTTAAAGCATAGCTAGCACACATACTGGCATTTTTTTTTTCAGTGACTTAATCGTAATTGGCTTGATCAAAGGAAAACTATGATTCCCCAATCTGCTAGCCTTTCTCACATGAGTTGGAAATAAATGAAAAGATTTTTGTCATTCACAAGGAACAAGTGCTATTACATTACAGCTGTGTTCAACTAATGGTGGGGCAAGAATTGATGATGACTAAAAGAAGTCTGATTGAAGCAAAGCATGGTGCCCTGTTACTCTGTTCACACTCTAAAGCACACTGCCTATGTGTAATGGGGAAGGGAGAGGGATGGCCAGTGGGCTAATGATCTGTGGCCCTGGATCGCATTGGAAAGACTGATTAACCTTTGGATTTGCTCTGTGGGAATGGATTTGTTGGCGCCTGTCAGCAGTGTGAGCATGAGGCACGCCAGATTATTCCTGATGTTGACTTAGGCATTCCAATATCACAGATGTCCAGACACATTGGATCGAGAAGGCTTCTTCAGACATTTCTTAGAAACTCCATCATGGGGGCATTTTAGCCTTTATTCATTAAGCCAACCCAGGGGAAGAGGGAATAAATGCTTGGGTTTTTTTCCTTCATAAAGGAAATACATATTGACTTTTGCTTTCAGAATAGACTGTTCTGTTTACTGTAGGGAAGCAGTCACCCTATCTTCACATCTGTCGCAAGTGGAACTGGGGGAGGGGAGCAAATCCCAAGTTAATGCATTCTAATGATTCACACTGGCGCATGGCAAGTTGCTTTCAACCCTTTCATAAATTACTATTGGCAGCCCATCTGGATTAGGAGCTGAACCAGATGGTGAGCACTTGACAGCTTACTCTGTCTCAGCACAAGGGATCAGCTGACCAGAATTTTCTTTCCATTTATGGCAAATAACACTTGGAAGATGGGGTGGGGTGGGTCTCCTATCTTTAGCTTGCTGCTGCCATTAACTGAGACCTGAATAACAGCATCCTTTCTTGTTTGTGACTGTCTTCATTTGGGGAAAGACAAACATTATGTCTATTTTT